AACAGATGCAGAAATAGAATTTGACAAAGTCCAACACCAATTCATGATAAAAAAAAGCTATAGAAAATTGTAATAGTCAGCATCACACTAAATGGATGAAAACTGACGTTTCATTCTAAAACCAGGAAAAAGACAGGACTGTCCACTGTCATCATTTTTATTCAATATAATTGTGGAAACATTAGCCATAGCAATTAGACAAGAGAAAGAAGTAAAAGGAAAAAGTACAGAGAAGAAAGAAGATATATTATCATTACTTGTGGATGACGATACTCTTCATAGAAGACTCCAAAAACTCCACCAAAAGACTCCTAGATTTAATTCCTGATTTCAGTAGCACAATTATATATAAAGTCATGCTCTTCATTTCTAATTGCATTTATTTGTGTCTTTTTTTCCTTTATTTTTTTGGTAAGACTGGCTAAGGGTTTGTCTATTTTGTTGATTCTTTTAAAGAACTAGTTCTTCTACTCGTTGATTCTTTGTAGTATTCATTTTAGTCTCAATTTCATTAATTTCTCTTATAACCTTCATAATTTCCTTCCTTTTGCTAGCTTTAGATTTGGACCTTGAGGTGCAATATTAGGTTATTTATTTGGGCTCTCCTTATTTTTCTGATATGGGCATTCACAGCTATAAACTTCTTCATTAGGGCTACTTACTTTCATTGTGTTCCATAGGTTCTGGTATGTTGTTCTGTATTTTCATTTGATCCTATGGGCTAATTTCTTACTTAACTTCTTTTGTGACTCATTAACTGTGCTATTTAAGCTGGCTATGATGATTTATGCCTAAAATCCCAACTCTTTGGAGACTAAAGCTGGAGAATTGCTGTGAGTTGAAGGCCAGTCTGGGATACATAGCAAGTCCAAGGCCAGCCTGAACTACTAGCAAGATCACATCTCAAAAAATAAAAAACTAAACAAGCAACAAAAAACTCCCTCTCCCCCCCAAAATACAAAAAGTATGTATTGTTTAAGTTTCATGTGCTTGTATAATTCCTGTGATTTCTTTTGCTATTTTTTGTTTCATTGCAGTATGATCTGATAATATACATGTGATAATTTTGATTCTCTGATATTTACCCTAGCATGCTTTGTGGCTAGCCTGTGGTCTGTTCTGGAGAAAGTCCCATGTGCTGCTGAGAACAGTGTGTTTTGTAGTTGAGTGAAACACTGTAGATATCTATTAACTCCATTTGTGTGAAGGTTCCATTCAACTAGGAAACATTTTTCTTTTTTCTTTTGTTTTAAAACCAGTCTCACTCTCACTCTGTAGTTCAGGCTGTTCTTGAACTCACTATGTAGCTCAGGCTGGCATTGAACTCATGGCAATCTTTCTGCCTCAGTCTCCCAAATATGGGATTACAAGTGTGTGCCACCTCATCTGGTTCAACTAAAATATTTCTTTGTTGATTTTTTTCTAGTTGACTTATTTGTGACAGTAGGGTACTGAGAAAACTCAATATAATTTTGTTCATGTTTATTTTCTCTTTTTATGTCTAGTAGTGTTTGTGAAGATTAAAAAAAGAAAACATTAAAAGAAAAAAAGGAAAATCATCCAGTGCTCCAAAAAACAGTGAAGAAAGAGAACAAAAAAGAAAAAGAAAAAATGAGTCAAAAAATACACTCTGTTAAGATAAAAAAAAAAAAAAAAAAAAAGGGGGCTGGGGATTTAGCTCAGCGGCATAAGCGCCTGCCTTGAAAGCAGGCAGTCGTGAGTTCGATCCCCGGTACCGATGAAAAGGAAAAAGATAAAAAAAAAAAAAAAAAAAATACGCTCTGTATATTTGAATGAGGGGCTTCTTCCCAAGAGCTACAGTTTTAGAGTTCAGGAAGTCATGGTTTTCTCTGCCTGTATTTACAGCCTGTAGGTTTGTGAGATTCTGCTCTGTTCTATAGGCCCTCCATGCATTTACCTGAAGCTACAGTAACTGTCCAAGCCAACATGTGTCCTTGCTCATGTTGGAAGATGAGAAAAACAATCAGACCTTGAATCCATGCCAGATATAGGCAGCGGGAAAGGTTCAAGCAGTTGCAGCACTTTATGCCAGCACTTTTGGATCCAGCCACTTCTGAGAGCCACACAAGTCAGACCCAGCTTTTTACCATGGAAGGCAGGGCACTGTGTCCCTGATGATCTGAGTTTCAGTTTTTCAGCTCATCTATGTCTGGTCTGTCCCCTCTCCACAACTGACTCTGTGGGTGTCTCTCACCCAGTCACTGTGGAACGGTGACCTTAGAAACCTTGAAGTAATTAGTTGGCCTGAGACCCAGTATTAAATAGTTCTTTCCTAAAATGGCATCCAGCTAAACTCTCTGCAATATGGCAGGTATAGCACGGGATTTCTTCTCCAACTGTTGCTTGCTGTGTGAAAGGAATCACTTCTGGAGTAAAGCCCCATGCTGTAATTGCAGTTTAAAATCCCTACGGGCTCTCCTTGGGGCTAGCTCTGCTGGCCCAGTTGACTGATTTTCACCAGAATTCCTAACTCTGGGGGCTTACTTTATGTCTGGAGAGACAGGTTGTCCTCCTTGGGAACTGGGCTATCCTTCCAGACTGGTTTGTTTTTTTTCCATGCATTGGAGACCATTTATCCAACTTCTCTGTAGCTTCTAATTTTTATTTTATTTTCCTCAAGATCCCCAGAGAGCTAGTTTTTTCCCCCCATATTTTTATTTTTCAGGTTTCTGGATATTGGGTCTTTAAGAGGCTGAATTTTACCGCTGATTGCTGCTCTGCCATGAGAGGGATTGCTCCTTCTCATGTTTTTAAAATCTACTTACGTTAGGCATTTATAAGTATCTTCTTCAGTATCTCCGATAAAAAGATTGCATGTATTCTATGAAAATACCATTATTTTTCAGCCTCACTGATTTGATATAACTTAAGAAAAGCTCATTTAATTTAGTAGCCATGATTAAATAGTTTTAAATAAATTAAAGTATGTTTCTTGCGCATGCTTAACAACAGTGGTGGTCTGCAGGGAACTTGTGCAGGTAAGAATGACTTGTAATCTCATAATTATGTGAACAAATGACTCTCCTGAAAGTGCTTGAGGGTGCTTGAAAAGTTTACTGTTGAAATAAGATAGAAGATTTTGATTTCAAGAAATTGGTAAATAGGTCAGTGGCACAGTTGGAGAGAAGCATAAGACACAATTATGTGACATGGGGCTAGGTCATAGTTCTTAATAGTCATTTCACATTAGAATCCCCTGGTCTGGCTGGGCTTGACATCCCAAGATGTCATGCAGGGAATACTGTCTGGGCATTTTTGTACTTTGAAGTTCTTTAAGTATTCCTAATGGGATGCCATGATTGAGAATCACTGCACTCTGTGGTTGAGGTAGTGGGGTGAGAGCTCTATAGCATTCTGGGATCTGCCTGGGACTGACATCTAGAGATGTCATCATTGTTGGATTGGGCTATAAGAAAGATAAATGATACTCAACCTATATTGTAATACTGGAGCCCTGACTCCCCCCCCCATATATATAGGTTTTTTTTTTTTTTTACTGTGGCTATTCCTTATGCTTTTTCTTTTGTTGTTCCTCATTCTTTATTCAACACAGGGGAACTCATTTCCCCACCATCCAAATATTGATAAAAATGTTACTATATTTGGAGATCAGTGATAATATTGCTGGGAAAAAATAATATGATTCTATTAATATACTTCGGTTGCAAATGGCTGGTATGGCTGCTTCAATAAGATCAAAAGGGAAGAGCAGGCTGCCTGAATTAACGGGGTCCAGCTTGCTGGCTGCATCTCTGGTAGGTATGAGGACCATCTGCAGTGTCGCCATATATTTCGGAGCCATGTATACATAGATGGGATGACCTGCAATCTTAATTTGAAGCAATAAAGTACAGTATTTACTGTAACAATAAACTTAAACTGTAAACAATAAGCTACCTGGCATAAGTTACCGGCGGTGGTGCTGGGGTGCTCTTTAGTTCCGGATCAAGTCTGACTTCCCCACTTTACACACATGCTTTCTGTCCCTCTTCTAACCTGCTTCCACCTCCATATGCAATCTCATGAATTAGTTTTGTTCCATGTTTCAGAATTTGTGCTACTATAAGCCCACCATCCACTACGTTAGAGGTGATTCATCTCAAACATCCAATCTACATATTTATATTCCACAGACTGGTGAGAGCTTATTATGGGAAGGTGGAACAGTGAAGTGCTGAGTGCTGCAGGAGATACAAAAATACACAGCAGGACGTGCGCCCCGAAGGAACATTCTCTTCCTTCCTTTGCTTATGCTCTGTTAATGTATAAGGTTTTAGTCTCCTTACCGTTTTGCTCAATACCTTATTGATCATAAAGTTTGAGATACAGGAATTCTCTGTTGGATTAACTTATTTTCCTTGTCCTTCTCTGTAGCTGAATTTCTGACACAGAATCAGACAAATAAGTAGGTCAGCTTTTGCCAAATTTATTACCCCGCGTTCTTTCCCCTGTGAAATTCTCACACAGCACAGCTGTTCTTACTGCTGTACAGAGACAGCTCTTTGAACAACTTCTCCATGATATCATTGTGCCAGCTACTGCCAAGCCAGATTATCTTTCCTTCTGTAAAATTTACTCCTTGTTTTGAGCTCAATTTATATTATAGATTTATAAAGATACATAACTTTAAAGAAGATGTTTTTGAGATTTAGTTGAGTTCTTAATTTCAAGTAGAATCTTTTTACTACGGAAAAACGTGGTGCCAGGCATGGTGGCACACCCCTGCAAATCCCTGTGCATGGAGGGTGAAGCAGGATCACACGGAGTTTGAGGCCAGCCTGGGCTACACAGTAAGTTCAAGTCCAACCTAAAATACACAGTAAGACCCTGTCACAAAAAACAAAACAAAACAAAAGTGGCGATAGAACTTTTCTGAGTAGAATCTATTCAGAAAACTAGATATTAAACCATATGGTAAGTTTTAAAACGTGAGAATGAATACATTTGAGCACACTGAACAGAATGCCACTAAGTCATCATTTGCCTGTGCAACCAAAGTTTATTTTTCAGGCACAAACCCCTTATATAAATAAAATAGCTAAAATTTAATTATTTATTATACACAAAGAAATGTCATCAAATGGACCTTCTACCTGGGCAAAGATCCAGGGCACTACATTTGTTTCCTAAGCTTCCATGATTGTGCATCTCAAAAGCCCAGAGGAGGTAATTATTCAGAGTGAAGGGCAAGAGGGGCATCCTGTCATGATGCGAGTGCTCCCAACAACCCACACTGCAGTTCTTCAGGGTTTACACGATGCCAGAATGGCTCACGCCCAGAAGACAAGAAACACACATGGTGCTTTTGTAGGTCTTTAAGAGTGAGGACAGAAGCTTCAGTGAAAGAGTTGGTGCATTCTTAGAAATCTACAGAAGTTTCGGTGATTGAGAGGGAGAAAATACCAAAAGTAGCATTTAAATTTTTCATTGGATCTAAAAAGTTCCAGCTACAAAATAAAATATAATAAATATATTTCTTGGGGATTTATAATTGAGTCACAATAAAATGATTGTTTTATTGAATGTTTGTTTTTTAGTAAGAGTTAAGGTATCAATAATCTGGAGTGATATACAGAGTGTATGAAAAGGTATTTTTCAGATTCACCAAACATGTATGAAATGCCTGTTATGAATCCAGCAAAGGGAGGTACTCTCTAACTTCTCCCTTGTGTTTGTCACTGTTTCTCATTCTCTCCTTAGATAGGAATTAAGACCTAAAGAACATTTTCATTAGATTTTCAAAATTCATTTATTTGCAAATACACTGAAAAATTCCTCTTTGAGATCCAGAATTTTAATCCAAGTAATGCTTATTGTTACAATTTTTGAAAAATGTGTAATGTACCTTACAAAGTTTTTAAAAAATTGTGGTAGAATATACATAACATTATTTACCATTAGTGACATCATGTTGTGAAACTTTTATGAATGACTACTTCCCAAAGATTTTCATCATCCCAAAAGAAAACATCTTACTCAGCAAGCAATCACTTTCTATTCTCTCTTCTTTTCACTCTATAACCATCGTTAATATGCTTTCGGATAGATTTACACATTTTGGATATGTTGTATACAAGGAATCATACATGTGACCTTTTATGTCTTGCTTCTTTCACTCGGCATAACATGTTCGAGGCTCATCCATCTTGTAGCATGAATTCTTCATTTCTCTTTATGGCCAAAGTTTACTTATCCATTCATCCTGATGGATATCTGGGTTGCTTCCACCTTTTAGCTGTTGTTCCTAGTGCTACTATGGTTAACTCCGTACAGTCTGTGTTTGTGTTCTTTTTGGTATACAGCCAGGAGTGGAATGCTGGGTCATACGGTAATTTTATGCATAACTTACTGAGTTACTGCCAAACTATTCACTACAGCAGCTGTTCCATTTTACATTCCTGCCAGCAATTGAAAGTTCCAATATCTCCACATTCTCTCCATAACTTATTTTGTTTTAAAAATTATATTCATTTCAGTGCATGTAGTGTCTCATTATTGTGTTGATTTGCATAGACTGATGCTGAGCATCTTTCATGTGCTTATAGGCCATTTGTATCTCTTCTTTGAAGAAATGTCTATTTAAGTCTTTTGTTCATTTTAAAATTGTTGAACATAGGAATTCCTTTCATATTTCAGATATTAGTTCCTTATCAGATATATGATGCAAGCATTTTCTTTCATTGTGTTATCTTTTCACTTTCATGATGCTGTCCTTTGATACAGACTTTTAATTGTGATAAAGTCCAATTTATTTTTTTCTTTTGTTCCTTGTACCATATATAAGAAACTATTGCTAACTTTAAGGTCATGAAGATTTATGCTTGTTTTCCTAGTATTATGTTTTACATCTACATGTCTTTCCAAAGCCTCATGTACTCATAGGTGGGGCTTTGAGGGAGGTGACTGGATCATGTGTGAGTGACAGCCGATTAGCCCACTGATGGGTTTACTGTTTTTCCTCTGCAATGCCCCTCCACCATGCCATCCTGCCTTGGGCCCAGCTGACTATGGGCTGAAACCACTACAAACTGAGCTAAAACAAACCCCTCCTTCTTTAATTTGTAGGTGTCAAGTATTTTTTCCCAGAAATGTGAAAGTAACTAAGACAGATTTTGGCATCTGAAAAGCAGGGTCATTTCTGTGACATTACCTGGCTATCTGGCTCAGGAGCCTTTAGAACTGGCTTTTAGGTAGACTTTGGAACAATGTGGAGATGTAGCTGGAGAAGCAGCCCTAGAATACTGGAAGCCGAGCTCGATGGAAGATTTTGTTATGAACGAGGAAGACTAGAATGCTGATATAAGACAAGGCTCAGGAGATGTCATTTGGGAAGCAGCATATACTCTGTTGAAGCATATACTCCTGGCCAAGTGTGATAGTCTCTGGTGGAAAATGTGTCTCCATTTTGTTCTTGACCTGAGACTGCGGGAGCCTGAGATTAAGGGGAGTGGACAAATTAAACTTGTGGAAGAAATTTGAAGGGTGTCTAATGTTGAGGCAGTGGCATGGCTACTGTTGGGGGCTTTTAGCAAATTGTACCCTGAAAATCAGAAGAATTAAGAGGTTTCCAGAAAGGAAGCTCTGGTAAAGTTATGGCCTGCAAACATGGAGCAGCAGCCCTAGAAAACTTGATTGTTGAAAAAATTACTTTGGAACAGGACAATAGACAACATGGCTTGAGGGTTTCGTAAGAACTAGTAGGACTCCATCCTTGCAGCCTCAAAATTGCAGAGGTAAAAGACTTTGCTCTGAGAGCCCCAGGGCACCATGTTCCAGAATGGCAGTGACCTAGGGAACTTATTCCTTGGGATTTAGTTCATAGTGTTCAGTAACCCAGGTACCTGACATTACAGCCCAGAAAGAAGGAAACCTGGCTACTGCTCCAGTTTGCAGCAGGCCATGGCATCACCTATATGGTGTGGGTTTCAGGCATATGCAGAATGCATGAGTTGTGGGGTCAGGAAGGCTTCCACTTTGACAAAGGCCTTGAAAGTCAGGCAGTGTGATCCTGAGAAGCAGTGTGTGAGCTGTGAGCCTGAAGCTGAAAGTGCAGCAGAGACCCCAGAAGGTTGGAGAAGCCAAGAACATGGATCCTCGGAGGAAAGCAGCAAGGAGTTAGCAAAGTCAGCCTAAGAGAAGTTGTGAAAGGTGCAAACACTGGTGGTGCCGTAGCGGCAGGCTAGGAGTTCAAGCCCTTTGGAGTTCATATCTTGCCATAAATTGCCATGAGTGCTGGACATGGAACCGCGGGATTTAATGTTTGCCCTGCTAGATTTTGGTCTTGCTTTGTTTCCATTTTTTCCTACCTTCCTTATTTCTATCTCTTGGAATAGGAACTTTTATCTCATGGTCATGTTGGAAATGTTTAACTTATGATTCAATTTTAGAGCTATCTGTTTGCCTTAAGTCTCCAGAGTTTGTACTAGACTTTTCAGTCAAAACTGTTGCGACTTTGGCAACTATTAGAGATGAACTAATTGCATTTTGGATAAACAGATGTACATAAGTCTTTTGGAGGTTGGGGCAATATTATAGTTTGTATTTAGATGTCTCTCCAAAGCCTCATGTGCCCATAGGTAGGAGTTATGTGTGTGTGATAGTGGATTAGTCCAATGATGGGTTTATAGCTGGTGTGATGATGGGAGGTGAAGCCTGATGGGAAGAGGTGGGTCACTGTGGGCATGACCTGGACTGTAACATATTCCTCCTTTTCCCTTGATCTCAACCCTGCTTCCTGCTTGCCTTGCCATAAACAGTTTCTCCTCTGCAATGCCCCTCTACCCTGCTACCCTGCCTTGGAGCCAGCTGAATATGGGCTGAAACCTCTACAAACTGTGAGCTAAAATAAGCCTCGCCTTATCTTGTACTTGTTAGCTATTTTGTGCCAGCAATGAGAAGGCATCTAAGAGTTTTATGATTTTAGCTTATATTTATGCCTTTCATCTATTTTGAATTTATCTCTTCACTTAAAAGTTCAACTATATTCTTTCACACATGAATTATCTAGTTTCAGGACCAACTGCTGAAGAAACTGTTCTTTCTTCATTAAACAGTCTTGATACAGTTATTAAAAGCCAAATGCTCATAGAATATTAACTAGAGTTCACTCTGGATTCTATTCTATTGGTTTGTGTGTTTATTTTTATACAAATACCACGCTGGTTTGATTAATGTAGCTTTGTAAGAAATTCTGAAATTAAAAAGTGAGTCTTCCAACTTTTGTTTTTATTCAGCACTGTTTTGGTCCTTCTGGGCCCCTTGCAATTCCGTATGAATTTTAGGAGCAGTTTTCCCACTTCTGGAAGAAAGCCTTTGGGATGTTGTGGGATACTGTGAGTGGCATTAGTGTCACTCTAAAGAGATTTAAGTCATCTAACCTGTGAATATGAGATGTCTTCCATTTATGTAGGTGTTCTGTTTTTCAATATACAAGTTTTGCATCTTAAATTTACTCCAATGTTTTACTTTTTTGTTACTGTAAATGGAGTTATTTTCTTAATTTCCTTCTTGGATTTTTGTTAAAGTATAGAAATACTATTGATTTTTTGTGTATCAAATCTTGCATCCTGTAACATCACTGAAGTTTTAAGTTAACAGTACCTATGTCTTTGAGATTCTTTAGGATTTTCAATATGTGAGATTATATTGTCTGCTAAGTTCTGCGTAATTAGAATTATTCTTTTTTTTTGCCCTAATTTTTCTAGCTAGAAATTCTACTTCAGTGCTAACCAGCACTAGGGAAAAGGCAATTTCCTGATCTTGAGGGGAAAGCTTTCACTGTTTTACCACTATGTTAGCTAGGACTGTTTGTGAATGTCTTTTATCAGCTTAAGGAAATTTTCTTCTTTCTAGTTTGCTGAGGATTTTTTCTCCCTTCTCTATATGAAAAGATTTTAAGTGTTTTCTCTGTTGAAGTATTTTTGCTCCTTAATCCTATTAACTGGTATATGATTAATTTTTGTATGTTGAATCATCCCTGTATTTTGGTGATCTCATTTGGCTGTCCTTTTAATGTGCTGTTGGATTTGACTTGCTAGTATTGAGTTTTTTGCACCTACATTATAAGTGACACTAATCTGTGGTTTTCTTTGATATCCTTGTCTGGCTTTGGTATCCAGGTAATGCTGGTCCTATGTAATGAGTTCCAAATGTTCACTCTTCTTTCATTTTTTGAGGATTGGTGTTAGTTTCTTATTTGGTACAGTTGATCAGTAGATCTAATCTTGGACTTTATTATATCTCTGATTACTGATTTAACTTATTATAGGTCTGTTCATATTTTTATTTCTTTGTGAGTCAGTTTTAGTAATTTATATGTTTCCAGGAATTTGTCTATTTCATCTAAGTTATAACTTGTTGGCAATAATGTTTATTTTTAATCAACAACTTTATAATATGTAATGATATGATACAAGGTATCTAGTATTTGTATAATTTGAAATGTATAGTTTTATTGCATTTACTTTTCTAAAGCAAAGTGTATATAAAACAATGTGAGATATTTAAACAGAAATTTCCCCAAACCCTAAGGAAGCAAAACTTTCTGATGGTGTGTGGCTATTTATAAATTTTATCATTAAAGGGAATAAACACTCTAAATTTTTCATTTTACTAAAATATAAATGATTTCTTGATAAAACAAAACCTCTCTTTTTCTACCTACAGGTAAGAATGTAAGAGTGAACATTCCTGAGCCAGACTATCCACATCTGAACTGATCTGTTGGCTGTTAACCTCTTTGTTTCCCAGTTTTATTAACTATAAGATAAAGGGAATAATAGTAGAATCTATTTCAGAAGTTGTTGTGAGAATTAAATGCATCAATGCATTCAAAAACTTGGTTCCTGTTCACAGTAAGCTTTCAATAATTATTAGCAAATGTTATTTTTATAAAGTGGTCATTAATTGTGGGGTTAAAATAAAGACCACCTGGACAACTCAATGCATAGTCGTAAAGGCCAAAGCAGCAATGTGAATATAAGAAAAAGCCACATTTATCTTGAGATTTAAAAAATCTTGGACTAGAAGAGAAATGAAAATCTTGGCAAAAGCCCTGTCACTTGAAAAGAAATGGGTTTCTTGAGAGCAGGTGCTACTGCTAGTTACAGCCTGCCTGAGAGAAGCCCCTTACAGAGAAGAACATCCCATAAAGGAAAGTAATCCTTGGATAGGACGATCAGTTCCTTTACTTTAACAGGAGTCTGTTCTCTACTGTGGGTCACAGTGAGTTGCAGTGGACAATGAATGTCCCAAGGAAATATCACAGATTTCAGTCTTTAAAGGAGATGACAATGTATTGAAGATTCTATTACTGAACTTTTCCATTTCTTTTTTATTTATTTATTTTTGGTGGGGGAATTGAACTCACTACCTCACACTTGCTAGGCAGGCCCTGTGCCACTGAGCTATATATCCTGCCCCTTATTCACTTCTTACACTTTCCCCTTTTACTTCAGCACAGATGATCTCTCCTTGTCAGGAAATAACTGAATTCATATTCTTAATATAATGACCATATGAAATATTAAGACATGATAAATCACTACAACCATTCTTTTCTTAGTGATCATACCCAAAACTATAGCGTTTGTTTGGGAACAGAAGTACTCATTCTCTTGGACTCCAAGGTAGAAACATCTCATGTGCATTTAAAATTGTTTCACTTAAAAAAAGGTTTTTGGGACCGGGCATATGGCACAGCAGCACAGTGCCTGCCTGGCAAATGCAAGGTCCCGAGTTTGATTCTCTGTACCTACCCCTCCCAAAAGATTTTTTAATTTCTAAAGAAAGCAACTAAAATCAAGGCTACCCTAATATAAAATATTAACACATTCAGCATAACACCATATTTTAAAAGATGGTAATTTAGTTTATACTCATTTTATAACTAAGATATAAGTTAATGAGTTATACCGTAAAGGATTTTTCACAAATGTCACTGCCCAGTGCATGTTTTGCAAACATTTGACAATTCACTGAAGAGTATTAACATTCACATATGTAATCAGTGTTTACAAATGTACAAAACTCTGGGTAACAAACACTTTAAACTTATTTTTCAAACAGGTAGCCCATCCCCCCAACAGTGTTTGATTATAGAGAAGTACAATGGGTTCCCTATTGGAAACAGTAAAAAACAGGCAGAGGAGCGAACAGACTTGAGAACATAAACAACTCCCGAAACACTTTTGTCAACAGTAAGAGATAAAAAATAAAACAGCTTTTGTAATATAAAAGCAAACTAATTCATATAGTTAGGTGAACATTACAGAATATATGATATTTATTTTCTCAATAAATTTGCATACTTTACACTTAATGTAAAATATCATGTTTCACCGTGTTAGTTGAAGAATAGCATATATGAAGTTCTTGGCGGCTCTAGATGTAATGGAATGAATATTGAAATAGGCCCCAAAGATCATACCAAATCTGTATTTGGTCACTATTGATTTACTGCTTTAATGTTTCTCTTTATTCACTGGACTAAGCCAATATTAGAAATAAAATCCAAAAACAAAGTAAATGCAATGTAGCTTTCCTGAAAAATAGTGTATCTTTAGTGTTATTAAAATAGTGATTATGATTAAACAAACAAAAATCACAGCAACTTGTGTGGTAAACTTACAGAACAGTATTTTAACAGTTTTATATGATGTATTTGCACTGTAATAAAATAAGTTTGGGTAGAGGAAGTAAAATGTGCTTGACTATGAATAAAAGACATTCCTATTTGGTACTGGCTTATGTTTTGACCAGTGGATCTGTCCTCATATTTTACACTAGAAACATGTTCACAGTTCACCAGCTATAGCCTTGATTTACTAAGGAATGACAATATTTGATCCTGGTCCATCTACTCCTTCTTTCCTTGGCTTAACATCTTCACGCTGAGATGAGGCACTTTGTGCCCAGGAATGTGGGATTGCACATTTGCTAAAAATTTCCACTGATAGTAAAACACTTGTACTAAATTAATAAAGGATGAGGGTATCTCCATTTAGAAAACAATGTATAGAAATGTAAAATCATAATTTTACAGTCACAACACAAGTTCCAGCTCTTCCTAGGCACAGTGGGGCAACCTAAAGGAAACAGAGAAATATGTGTTGGATTTGGGTTAAACTGTCAACAATACTACACTTGTTGGTGAAATACTGAAATTCTCTGTATTTGTTGACAAGGATTTGCTCCTCTTACCCATTATCCCAGCCCTATTGCTAGCCTGGTCCCTTGTCCAACCCCTACTCTTGATGTCAAAGCTTTATATACTATATTGTTTTGTATTATAAAGTTTTGTAGACTAAGTTGTTTCATAGTATAAAAATTAATTTCTCTTTAAAAGCGATTTTTTAATGGCTCAGGAACTACTATACACAAAACACAAAACTTTTAAGCCAAAATGCTTTATAATATGAATGTTTAATAGAGCTTAAAGTAACTTTGTGACTAATATATAGAAACAATCAAGTATTATATAGAGGGGGCCTCTAACTGCCATGGCATCTCAGAGCGTACACAGAGTACTTCATGCCTAGGGATCTCAAATGAATCCTCCACGTGCATAGATGAAATAACAAATCCATTCTACTGCTTTTCAGCAGAGCCAATAAGAATAAATACCACTCAGCCAACTCCCTAGGAGTGGAAACAAACCCAGTGAATGTGTTCTGACTGTGAGATGGGGTGACAGGTGCTAGAGACATGAATATCAATTTATGGATAAGAAACAAGACTTAATATTTATACTTATTGTCTTTTTAAAAATATATCCCAGGAGGGGCTTGGGATATAGCTCAGGTGCACAAGCACTTGCCTGGCAAGCTCAAGGTTGTGAGTTCAATCCCCAGTACCAAAAAAATCCCCTAAACAACAACAACAACAACAACTTTATCTATCCCAGGAATCAGACACTACATGGCTGAAATGTATGGACTAGAATAGTTTTTGAAGAAGTACTTTGTATACAGTTAAGAATTTATGCATTTGATCTGAGAAAGTTATAGGTTGGGAATGGACTTAATGTAAAATACTAAAACAGTATGCTTTGTTCTTATGAATATTACGATGTAAAACAAAGTGTTTCTATTAAACTCACAATCAGTTTGATCCAAATCCTTGTCAACTTGACCCAATTCTTAATCTTTCACCAAAGAGTGAATTTTAAGAATGGATCAGGCTTCACCTGTATAAGAATTTTGAATTGTTTCCCACTGGAATGAGTTTTCCTGATCACTTTTACATGTACATGAAAAATCATGTTAGTGATTTTAAAACTACACCTACTTATGCAGTTTGTAATTAGCAACTTTTCTCAAATACCCAAATCTCTACACTGTGAACAGGCAATGTGACAGCTAGCCAGAGAATTTATTAAATACAGTGCACTCGCACTATGGCCAAGGCATAGAAGGGTGTGGCCAATGGCTCAAGTGTTTGTAATCCCATTTCAGCCCCACATGAACACTCTCTTGTCCGTACCTTAGAACACTGGAAGGAAAACATTTATTTTTCAGATACTATGGTTAAAAGTAAATTCGTTAAAGTAGTATTTAGAGGTGACATAAAAAAATAGCTGTACAGTCAAAGATTACTGATTTTGATATTTCTTACATAACTTCTCCTCTCTTCCCCCTTTTTGAATTGGCTTAGTTTAAATCCTAGTTCTTTCTTACCGAAGCTTTCTCAACAACCACTTTCTTCTTTCTTTTTGAAGAGACACTACCAATCACTTTATCTTGTAGGTTCTCCCTCTGCACAAATATACCTTACCTAGTAAGTTCTGTGGCAACAGGGATTTTCCTGTATTTTGTTTCCTTAAAAGTACATAGTACTGTTTCTATGAAAGAAAACTTTGGCTCAGTTAAATATTCATTGAGTGTCTTTTAAGTATCAGATACTGACTTAGGGATTATAAACACAAAATTTCTCATTCTGGTCTTGGCAGTGATAGAAGCAAAGACCTCTAAAGCTCATCTGTACAAGTGTTAGGCCATTCCAGAAATAAATTTGACAGTCAAGTTTCTTACTTGTTGATGTAAAGCTGAGACACCATCTTCTTTAGGTTATGATCAGAAATTTCGTATGTTCTCAAATATTAGTGTCCTTAGTATTTAAAAATTATTGCTCACACATTATACATAGTAAATTGTCCAAGCTTTTCTAACGTTGATGCTCTTTTCCACCATCTCCTATCTCTTTTTTATAGCCTTCCTATGACGATGTCAGTTCTATCAATACAGGAACATTTACCAAGCAAATCGTGGCAGATCAATTGTTGATTTCTCTAAATCTTAACCTATACTTCAAAGGCAACTTTGGATTTTAATTTCATTATGAAAATTAACTACTGTTTGTTTTCTCATATTTAGTCAGGGGATGACTTTATCATATTTATGTGGTACAGTCAATACTAAATAAAATGGAGAGGCTCTTCTTTACAAAGAGTTCTTTTCACAAAAAGAGAGTAAGTATGGTAGTCAAAAAAAGAAAAAGCATACCTGGGTCCACTCGTTTGTCTGGGGATCATAAGCTTCCACTGTGTTAAGGTAAGTCTGTCCATCATACCCTCCAACAGCATACAATTTATCACCAAGTAAGCAGACCCCCACTGCGTCTCTGCTGATGCTCATTGATGCCACTGCGGTCCACATATCTGTTTTGGGATCATATCTGAAAGAGAATTTCAGAACTAGAGCTCATGTTGTCCTTGTAATATTTTATATAAAAAGTTTTGTTCTTCAAGCCCTTTTTTATTATCTGCTTTCTGAATAAAATATATTTGAATCTATTTGAGAGGAAAAAGACAAAAAATTTTTCTAAAAACTTTTTAAGTTACCATATTATACTTTCATTTAGCAAATGTACAACACTAAAGTTAAAGGAGATGTAAATACTAGGAACTAGTTCACGGCTTTAGACTGCCTTTTGAGAATATAGGGGAATTAAAGTAAGCTCGACATAAGATGATGTACAACCTCCATTACTGTAGCTGTCCATTCTTGGACCTCTGTGTTCTTTTACAAGGTATCTTACATAAAACTCCCCAGAGTTGTCTAAGAACAGATATTTCATGCTAAGGTGAACAGTGTTGCTTCTGATGTGTCTTTTGGTACCAGCTTTTCCCTGGATGTAGTACTACAGCAAGCTCATAACTTATCAGACGAAGTGTACAAAGACTCCCATATTTTTTTTTTTTTTTATCGGTACCAGGGATTAAACTCATGACTGCACACTTGCAAGGCAGGCGCTTATGCCGCTGAGCTAAATCCCCAGCCCAGACTCCCATATTTCTATCCTGAATTAACATGTAAATAATATAGTCTGAACTGCTTTTTCTCCAGTGCAGGTGAAATATAGGTGTAATTTGGCTATTTTCTCAGCAAACAATTATCAAGTTCCTTATTATTCCACAGGGAATGCTTGTTATCAACAAACTTTGGTTTTCCTTTTTGTAAGTGCAGGATTAATTTTTTATTAGATTTTTCTTTATATCTTTGCATCATTTACAAGTAGTAAGTCATGCTAATCATAAAGAAATTCAGTATGTTGAATTCTCTCAATTTCTATTCTTTGAAATCCAAAATCCTTAATGATGTCTCAAGACTACACAGTCTGCCCTCACCCACTTCACCTCCTTTCCTGCTCCTCTCTCCATCACTTTTGTTCTCTGGCCACAATGGCTGCCTTTCAGTTTCCTGGATGAGCCATATTCTTGTCTGTGTTAAAATATCCGATGTACTTCTGTTGATTGTACCTCCAACACACATTAGAATTCTCTCCATTCCTTGAATTAGACTGAATGTATTAGATAGGAACCTGACCCAACAACCAAATTGTCCACAGGTGTTAGGCTCTCTACCATGCCCCCAAATTGAGTTTCCACTGTGGTCAGTATGGATGATCTGTTCAAACTTTTAAGACTTATCAGTTTGTTTCACTATTTCACATTATTTCACTTTATATCAAAATGGGTCAGATATGTCTCTACTCTTTTTGCTTCTTACTCAGCTTTCCAGCCCTAAATTTATTGTCTCTGAAATTCATCAAGATCCTTTTATTAGGTGCAGTGTCCAGTACAAAATAGGTATACAGTCAATATTTGCCTTAGGGTTCAATTAATAAATTAGGCACTTGAGTCTAAGGGAAAAGTAGGCAGTCATGAGGAGAGGAGACTCTGAGTAGTCAGTTGGGAGATAGGGAGAGCCTCTAACTCAATGCTTATGGGGCCTCTACAGAACCAGTATACATGTGATGGGTGCTCAGCAAAAAGCCGTCATTTGTCTCCAAGATTAGAGACTTATATTCCTTTGTTGTGTTGCTCCTAGTTTCTTCCACAGGAAATTACCTCTCCACACAATCTGAGAGTCTGGAAGTCAAGTTGGATGCGGGAGCGTCATGTCCGCCAATAGCATACAGCAGTCCATTCCAGGTTGTCACCCCAACACCGCCTCTCCTTTTGGACATCTGTGCACACAGTGTCCACTTATTAGTGTGAGGATCGAAGCACTCGACTGATTTGAGACAAGAACTTCCATCACGACCACCAACAGCATAAAGTCTGTAAACAGAACAAATGGAAGACACAGTGCTGCTATCAGGTTTAAGGCAGAAGGTATTGTTAGGATGTTTCACTGAATGTTAGGTACCAGTGATCATACACGCTGGCAATTTATGTGCCATTAAGAAAGAAGATATGTTACTAATTATATGACGTGTGTGTGTGTGTGTGTGTATATCTCACTGGCTATATGATGTGCTACAATTAGAGATGCTAAAATATGTCTTAGAATAGATAATACACACTAGTATAAGTATGGAACTCTTTTTTTGTTGTTTTGGTTTGAGACAGGGTCTCACAATGTACAATAGTTTAGGCTGGCCTTAAACTAATTAATATCCAGAATATGCTGTATAAAGAACTCAAAAAATTAGACCACCTAAATTAAAATTAAAAAAAAAACAGACCACCTAGTCAAATGGACAAATGAAATGAACAGATATTTCTCAGAGGAAGAAATACAAATGGGCAACAAATGTATGAAAAAATGTCCCACATATCCGGACATTACAGAACTGTAAATTAAAACAATGCTAAGTAAGATTCCATCTTACTCTAGAAAACATGACAGTCATCAAGAAGGGCTAGGTATGGTGGGATATAGCCAGAATTCCAGCACTCAGAAGGCTAAGGTAGGAAGACTGCTGTGGGTTTGAGGCCGACCTGGGCTACATAGTGAGATCAAGACCAGCCTAAACTACACCGTCAGTTTCAACAAACTTTTGTTCAAACTTGTTTCTCAAACAAACAAATGAAAGAAAGAAAGAAAAAAAGAAAATGAACATAACTGGGCTGTGGTGAAGAAAGAACCCTCATACATTGTTGGTGGAAATGTAAACTAATATAACCCTTATGGAAATCAGTATGGAGATTTCTCAAAGAACTAAAATTAGAAATTCCATATGACTCAGCTATCTCCCTGCTAGGTGTCTTCCATGGAGAGCTTCAGATGTCAGACTACAGAGAAACACGCATACTAATGTTTATAGTAGCACAATTCATAATAGCTAGATACTGAAAGTAGCCTTGTATATCTATGAACAAATGATCAGAGAATGTGGAATCTAAATATAATGGAAGACTACTTGGATATAAAGAAGGACAAATATGGACATCTGTAGGAAAGTGGATGCACTTGGAAAATACAATGTTGAGTGAAATAAACCAGACACACAAGCTTAAATACCATATGGTATCTCTCTTGAGCAAGACAAAGTACAATCAAGGAGAATAATAAAGGATGGCTAAAAGGAGACAAGCAGTTAGATCTCTTGCAAATGGATGGAATCTAAGAGACCAAGTACAAGGGGCAGGGGAAGGGCAAATAAATAGAATAAGGATACGCTAGGTATAAAAGTCTAATAACCTCAACAAATGTACATATTACATGCCATAAATACTAGTTAAGATTCATAATATCAACAGGAGTAAAAACCAGTAAGGGGAATTAGAGGAGGAAAGCAGGAGGAGGGAGGAAAGGGAAAGGGATTAAAGAAACAAGACGTATTATATACACGTTCCTGCTTCTCAAGGTAACTGTAAATGTGTATATTACAAACATGCAATAATGAAAGTAAAAAATTTAACAAAACAAAACAAAACACTAATTATGCAGCCCAAAGGTGGCCTTGAACTTGTGGTGGTCCTCCTGCCTCAACCTCCCGAATGCTGGCATGACATGTATGTGCCACCATGCCCAGCCTGACAGCATGGACTCCTGAACCACACTCTCTGGGATGCACACTGCTTCCACCACTTTGTACTAAGGATGGATCATTTAACCCCACCTTCCTGAATTTCTTCACCCATAGCCCTATCCCTATAGAATTACTGATAAAGTATCTACACAGTCCTGGATAAGCGGTAAAAATGACAAATCCTGCCTTTGTGTTCTTTTAGAAAACAGCAATTTTACTCCTTTTATTAAAAAAAGATGTTGTTTCTTCAAATCAAAGTATTTCTCTATGTAATAGTCAATGTGGTTTACTACATTTTAAATGGAACTCTATTTCCTTACTTTCCACTCAGAACTGCCACCCCTACTGTGCTCCTGGGCGTGGACATGGTGGCAACGAAGTTCCACTGGCGCGCCTGTGGGTCCCATCTTTCCACGGTGTTCAGATAGCTCCAGCCATCGTGCCCTCCGACCGCGTACATGGGGCCTTCCAGGACAGCCACACCTGCAAGGAGAAAGAAGAGGCCCTGACCTCAGGCTTGCTGCTTATCTCAAAACGTGCATTTTAATTGAAACAGAAGTACAACATACCTTAAACACACAAATGTAACCTTCAAAAAAGCTTGCACTTTAGAAATCATGGTCAGATAATTAAAATGTGTCATTCATGCTTAACCCAGCCAACATACTTTACTCATTTGTTATATATTGTGTCCCACTGGTACTATCAGAGATTTTAGGTATGTATATATGTATGACTATATAAAGATATGTATGTTTTATCAATCATATAATAGGTATCCTAATCAGGTGAGAAGAAAATGTGTCCATCTAATCAAAGTCCTTAAATAACAGCTTTGAAAAAGAGCTTAGCAGCAGAAGCATTTTTTCAAATGAACTGTACATATTTTCTTACATAGGGAAGAAATAAAAGGAGTATTTCTTAAAAGTTTATCAGTTCAAATTTATAACATCTATTTTAAAGTAAAAACTAGAATGTTGTGAATGAAAGAAACAAAATTTTCAAATTAGCACTTAATTAGTGGACTCTGAATGACTGACCGACCTCCTCTGAACTGCTCAGTGCAATGTCTTCCACACAGCACATAGACTAAGAACAGCATTTCACAGACAAGCTAGTGTACAAAGTGAGCTGGACCTAATGAGTAATTATATTCTATGCACTAAAAAGAATTACTCTAAATTAGAATTATTTCCTATCCCAAGGTAGGGGAGGGGAAGAACGCAGTTAAACTATACTATCAACTCTGCATTTTATAGTGAACCACAATTTTTTTATTTTTTTTGTTCCAGGGATTGAACTCATGACCCTGTGCCTGCCAGGCATGCACTTATGCCGCTGAGGTAAATCACTGGCCCGTAAACCATAATTTTTAGGTTGTATTCATCCTTAAGATACGAGCTAAAATCAACTATACTTTCCCTGTTATTCATCCACCTTTTATGATGATTTTCCAAATTCCTAACTGCAACAATCTAAACTTTTTCCTGTGATAAATTGATAATACAGCCAAAAACTGTTCCTTCTCTGAATTTGTTATCTCTTTGCATTGTGACTCTGTAGCTTTTTTCGTGAAGAACTGGTATCTGCTTTTCTGCCTACTGAACTTGAGTTTGCCCGTGTGACTAGTCTGGGTCAGTGAGACATTAGCAAACATGAGGTGAGTAGAGGCTGAAAAGCGTGTGCCTTGGGACTTGTCTTCCCTCACTGTCTTTGGAAACCTGTGTGCTAGCATGTGAAGGAAGACTGGGCTAGACTACTGAGTGTGCAGAGGCATAGAATTCTGTCGCCCAGGCCAACAGCCTGCTTGGCTCTGAGACCTGTGGATGAGGCCATTCTAGATCACCCAGCAACCAGCCGCCCCATCACAGATTCCTCAGAACCTAACAGAGATCATCACCTAAGGCAGTTATGACCAAAGAACTGCCTGGCTGACCCACAGACTCATGAACCAAATGGTTGTGCTTTAAGCTTCTGCATTTTGGATTTATGTTATGCAGTAAAAGCTGGGTCATACTCATACATTTCAAATCTCATCTAATTTTATAGCTAGCTCCTTCATGCTCATCCATCAATATGTTCTTTTTTTCACTGAGAAAAGAGAGGTCCTTAAATTCTCTTCCGTGCATCTTAGAATGCACTATCATCAGTTCTTTGAGGGTGAAGATAGTCTCTCTCTCATCTGTGCAACCCACAGAACAAAAAGGCACACTGTACATGTCAACCAATGTCTGCGCAAGGAATTAATGGCTGAAAGAATAAAAGGTCTCTATTACATTTCGGTGCTAACTCAAAGTTTTTATTTCTGCTTAAAAATCAGGATTTTAGTCATTTTTGCATTTTTGCAGTGGGTAAGGTAATGATTTTTAAATAAGTATCTGAGATAACACCAATCACCAGCACAGAATGTAAAAAAGTCGCTTGTCAGACTACCATGGTACTCTGAAACCACTAGATATTCATAGTTATGTATATGCTTGTTTTCTCTGCTTCTGCTTCTTAGATAACAGGAATATAAGAAGGATGCTTGGTGACTGAGCTGCTGACTCACTTGCCACTTCAGTCTTTTCTGCACAGAGCAGAAGCTGCTGTGGGAATGTAACATAGGATGCTGTGAGTGAATGTGCACAGTTAGACTTACCAAGGCCATGTCTATGTGTGGACATAGGCGGCATCACACTCCAAGTTTTTGTTTTGGGATTGTAACACTCTACAGTATTCAAAGTCTTCAGTCCATCTCTCCCTCCAACCACATACAGTTTGTCATCTAACACTGCAACTCCGAATTGAAGCCTCCTCCCATTCATAGTTGCTACAGGAGTCCACATATTTGTACGGAGATCATACTTTTCAATGCTTGTTGCTCCTTAATTGTAATATACAGAAATTATATAAATAAAAATTCTACCATGATAACAATTTTATGAAACTGTACATAATAAAAAGTATAATTTTATTAGCATTGACAATAATGTTTTTGCTGTGCCCTGTAAAACCCCTATATGATCTTGCCCCTGCCACATGTTACCTCATTGCCTACCATTCTCTAGGACATACACCAGGTCCCACTAGTAAACAGTTGAGTGGGTAAGGATTATTTGTCTGGAGGAAGCTGAGATGCAATAGTCTGAATTGGGAGGAAAGGCAGGAGAGTTTAGTGTCAGGGAAGCCACCTTAAAAGTTTATGGCAGGTGGCTCTGCCTCAAATGTCACTGAGACAACGAAGTAAGAGGAAGACTAAAAAATAGTAATAGATTTAGTTACATGAGGCTGTTATGGCTTGGTGTTGATGTCCCCTCAAAGTCTCATGTGGTCACAGATGGAGCATTTCAGAAATGGCTGTATTATAGTGTGTGACACTGGGATTAAGTGTGTGGTTACTAAATTAGTGCACTGATGGGTGTGGCATAGTTCTGGTGTGGATAATGGGAAGGTCCACTCTGGGTGTGAGTGCTGCCTGCAAGCAGGCATGTGGCCTGAACCCCACTTGCTACTTTGCAGCTTTCCTGCCCTCCGCCTGCCATGGGCTATTTCTCCTCACGATGGCTTTGTACCATGCATCCTTGCCTTGGAGCCAGTTGACTGCAGGCTAAAACCTTTACAAACCGTGAGCTGAAATAAATCTTTCTTCCTTTAACTTTGGATGTTGGGTATTTTATCTCAGCAGAAAAAAAGACAAGGTCACTGCTGACTTTAGGAAGAGATCCTCATTTGAGTGGCTGACACATGCTTAGGAGGTGAGAAAATGGAGATGCTCAGCATAGATGGTTCTTCTAAGAAGTTACGCTACAGTGGAAGAGACAGGAATCACTAGGCGGGTTGAGGGAGTTTTGCTTTTAAAATTGGAAAACCCGAGATGGCCCAGGCTTAAGAGGAATGAAGCTGAAAACACAGTATAAAGTTCTGAAGAAGCAGGAAAGGACGGCATGTGAAGTGCCGGCAGAGGGGCTGACTTTTGGGGGAAGAGGGGAAGAGTCCCCATCTACAGCAAGGAGCAAGGGCAAAAGTCACCTTCTCTGGCAACTATGAATCAAGGAAGTTTAGGGAGTTTCTGGCTGATGATATCTGCATTAAAAAAAACTTAGTGATTCCTGAATTTTGGGGGGGGGGTGGTCCAATGTTTATCTAGTTTTCCAATAGGAAATGGTTATTTAATGTATACTTATTTATTTAGTATTGAGTAATTGGTAAAGTAAATTTCCATATTATATCTTAATTAGGCACTTTTTATTCTCTTTAAAAACTGAGAGTAGTAGTGGTGTTTAAAAAAACACCATCTCTAAAAAGTCCAGCCCATAATTACAAAGGTTTCACTTAGAATCCTCCAGTCTTCTAAGGTTCTAATATAAACGTAACTAGTGCTAGCTTTACAATTATGAACACAATGAACATTCATTCTAAAGTATTTTTTTTTTTTTTGTCTTTTTCCTTTTTATCGGTACCAGGGATCGAACTCACGACTGCCTGCTTGCAAGGCAGGCGCTTATGCCGCTGAGCTAAATCCCCAGCCCCTCTAAAGTATTTGTTACATTCATTAGGTAGTATTGCCAAACTGTTTAGGATTATATTAAGTCTCTTTTTATCTGTGTATTCTTCACAGCACCAAACAAATTCCTTCTATAAAGGAGGTATGTTAAATGTTTTAAATTTGAATAATCTTTATTTATAAAACTTTGGTTACAATGAAATTTTATTCATAAACTTAGATAACTGTATATCAGAATATAGTTAACTCATTAGTCCAAATGTAGTCTTTAAAAATCTCTATCAAATTAATCAAATCAAATAAAAACTTCCATCAAATAAAAAGCTAATCGTCTCTCTCACTAGTGAGTTTAAGAAGTATTTTTCTTTTGGATCTTAAGTTTTTTTTTGTATCTAGCTCACTGAGTACTGTCACAGTGCTGTGAAGTGGAAACTGAAACTGTTGCTAATTCTAAACATAATATGCAAAACATTAAATATTAAAACATAGCCACAAAGTTGTATCATTAAAAACCCCAAACAGCTAATAATTGTAAAGTTCTAGATAAAAAGCACACAATGCTCTTAATTTATTTATAGGGAAGCACTAACCTTTAAAAAACAAACACAAATGTCTTCTAAAATACTTTCTTTGTGGCTATTCCAAACCATTATCAGCTTATTTTTTAGATCCTATACTAAGAGACCAAGAGTGAGCAAGTTGACAACTATCATTCAAGTAATGCAAACTGTTCACTATAAAGAAACTAGGAAGAGTGAGATAAATTAAGACCAAGGGTAGATAGCTTGAATAGATTGGGTATTTGAACATTAAGAAAGACTTGTGCATGAAGCTGGCCAAGCAGCAAGGGCCAGATTACAAAACGTTTTAAAAGCTAGGATGAAGAATTTATACCTTGCATGTAAAGAAATAACGACTGTTTGTGTTTTTGAGCAGTAGTGACATGGTAGCTCAAGAGTTAATGGAGAGTATGGTCTCCCAAATTAAAAAGCCCGTTTGACTCTTGATCCCATTACTAATAAACTGTGTGACACTGGCAACGTTACTTAACACAACTCCATTTCCCCCCCTAAATGCATTTTATTTCAAGAAGAAAAAGAAAGAAGAAGGGGAGGAGGAAGAAGAGGAGGGGGGGACAGTTGGAGAAGGAGGAAAACTATAACAAAATTTCAAAACACATCTATCAGGGGCAACAACAGTACATACATTGTACATTATCATACCCAAATCATTCACCTAGAGCACAAGCCAGCTGACTTCAATTATCTGAACAATACCAGCACAAATCTTTCTCTCCAGTGAACTTAGAGAAATCAATAGTTACTATCATAGCTATTTTTATAGACATATACATATGCTGTTTCAGCTTCTCACACTGGGACAATATGAGGTTTACACAGGTGTGTCTTACTTATTTCACTAATGAGCACATTTTTTTTGTTTTTTTTTGGTATGCAGGATTAAAATCACGACCTCATGCTTGCCAGGCAGGCACCTATGCCACTGCACTAAATCCCCAGCCCGAATGAGTATGTTCTCAAGTTGCATCCATTTATTTATAAAAGTCTCCAATTTATCCTTCTTTATGGGTAAGTAGTGCTCCACTGTATAAAAACATCACATCACTTTTATTCATTTCTCAGTTGATGAGGTACCCTCAATTATAAAAAAAGGCACATCTAATATTCAGCTCACAAAGAGTCTACAAGAGCTGGCACATATTAACAAGACAATGAATGCTACTTATCCTAAACTAACATGATCAAGATAGGTACAGTGATAGCATATTATCACTAGAATTAGAAAACTAGCAGTGTAAATTAAAGAATCGGGTATAAGACCCATATGAAGGATGACTTGTAACTTATTTGAGATCTGAAAAGAGGATGAGAACCCTTTCCTTTGGGTACTTAATATCTGAGTTCCTTCTTGTGCTTGAGGACTTTGTCACTATATAGGAGCCTTGACAGGAAGTGGGAACCCATCTCCCAAAAGGCTGAAAGGACAGACACTTGTCCTCCTAGATCCTGGAAATTTAGTGCCTAGCACTGATCTAATGTTTGTACCTATAATTCAGAAGGTAAAATAGGAGTTATGAAAAGGGCAGTAGATACAGTCCCTGCCCTTTTGGAAGCAGCCTTCCAGCCTTCCAACTTAGTTTAGTTTTTTTTTTTTTTTTTTTTGAGACAGAGTCTTACTATGTAGTTCAGGTTGATCCTGAACTCATGGTGATCCTCCAGCCTACTATTACAGGTATGTGTGACACTACACTCAACTTTCCAATTTCTTATCTGCTTAGATGAACTAGAGTTGATGTCCATGAAAGAAAACTGAATTATGAGTCTACATTTTCAAATTTGGGTGACAGAGAATATTTGGATACACTAAGTCTGAGGTGAGGTGGAGACTGAGCTGACTCAAAGTGACAGTATAATATATAGACCATTTCCTAGCACACAGTAAATACTGAATATTTGCCAATTATTTAGACCATGTAAAATCTTAGAATATTTGAATATTTGTACAATAACTCTAATCAACTATCAGACATAATCAGAGGGTGAGAAATTTTAACCCATCAAACTTTGTGCTGAAAGTTGAATGTAAAAGAAACATATATACAAGTTGGAATTATGAGAATAAATCAAATCTACAGACAGATTCTATGGTCTTTGCTTTCATGAACCTAAAAGTTTAGTAACAGTGTAACACTTTCAATTAGAGCTCATGGTTTTATATTCTTTAAAGATACCACATGAGAGAGAAACCTTTAAATGCGATTAATGATGCACTGAAAGCCTCACTCACACAAGTAATTAAAGATGGCAAAGGAAACCTTCACGTATTTGACAAATATTTATCAACATTGACTATGTGCAAAGCATTTTTCCAGGCTCTTGGGTTTATTAGAGTACAAAGCAAACTGCTTGCTTTTCTGGATCTTACTTAGAAGAGGTAGACAGATCAAAAAACAAATGTATCAGGAGCTAGAAAGAAACATAACTCAGAGGAGGAGATAAAAAGTAGTAGGAAAAAGAGGTGGCCAGAGAGTGGTTACATTAGTCAGCTGGTAGGTGTGTGAAAGATCTGAGCGGGCAGTTCCGTCATTGAGGCAGATAGAGCACGACAGTCAAAAACAAAAACAAAACCCCCACCTGATTGGTAGCCTAGACGTGGGTTATGTTTGCCATATTAGAAGAAAAAGAAGGCCAGTGAGGTTAGAACAGAGGGAGCAAAGGAAGAAGTAGAACGAGCAGAAGTCGGAGAGGCGTGTCAGCGGCGGCAACGATTCGTGTTAGGAATACAAAGTGGGAAGCAGCGCGCACCGAGAAGTAATTCACAGCAAGTGCCTGGGGTAACTCCTGGCAGCCAGCAGAAAACCATGTGTGCTCTTCACTGCTATTATTTTTATCATTAGTAATAAACGGTGTCCAAGCATAGTCAAGAAAAAAGAAAACAGTGAAAAAACTCCCACATGCTTTAAGCCAGATTTTCCATGTTTATGCTTCACTTTGTTTTCTATGCATTTATGTGCTTTTTCCTGAACTGTTTAAGAGCAAGCTGCAGAAACAACATAGACCCTATACTTCCAAATACATACTTCAGTCTGTCTTCCTCAGAATAATATAACCACGCTACAATGATCAAATCTAAAATCAATATTTTATAATGCTAATTATCTAATCTATAGACAGATTTGGATCTATTCATTTGTCTCAATTATAATCTTTATAGCAAAAGAAAATCCAAGATGATGCATTACAATAGCTGACATCTCTCTTTATTCTCCTGTGACCTGGAAATGTGTCTGAATTTTTTTCTTTAGTTTTGTATTTCACAACACTGACATTTTTTGTGCCACAGACAGACTAGTTATTTTGCAGAGTACTTCTCAACTTAAGACTTCTTTTTATTCCCATGTTAAATTCAGGTTATGCACTTTGGGCACACACACCACAGTAGTGCTGCTGAGTTCTTTACACTGCATCCCATCAGAGGAACATGCTGCCGCTCAGTCATATGGCTGGCAATGTAACCTGTGATAATTAGGTTGAACAGATGTGTGCTACTGCTGCTCTCCATTGTAAAGACACTATTTTACTCTTTGTAACTAACGTAAGCATGAAATACTTTAAATATCCTGTTCACAAAGTCATGGCTAGTCTCAGCCTGCATTGGTGATTTCTGACTGAATCATTTGAAATGTTTAGGACCAGAAGTGTTTGGAATATTTACACAGACTTCACTGTTTACGCATCCTTCATCCAAAACCTGAAACTGTGAAATGCTCCAACATCTGAAACCTTTTAAACTTTACATCTGCTCCAAAACGTTCTAATTTGGGAGCATTCTGGATTTCAGATTTTCAGGTCAAGGATATTCAACTTGCATTCTGATGGTTGCCAAATGTTAAATTTTTCTATCTGCATCTTTTTTTCTACATTTAGTAATAGCATTCTACAGTATAGAAGAGCTTATTTGTATTAACGTGAACTAATGAAAATTTATTGATAAAGTAAGTTATAATCTTTTCCCATCATTATTTACCTTAATCCCTAAACCACCCTTGAGCAGACAGTGACCCCTACAAGCTGAGGCCTGTTTCCAAGATTCCTTGAGCACCTCCTATTCTGAGGTCACCTAGCACTTTTCTTTTCCTGGTATTGCAACAGGCTCTCTAAAGTTCTTTGGTAGTCTATATCCCTTATTAAATTTCCTTTTTTCCTTGTTCCTTCAGATAAAAGATCATTCATTACCTTTTGTTGAATCCATCCCTCCGACTGCAAATAATGTACCAACAGTTGACTTTCTAGGTTTTGTTCGAGGACTCTGTAACATGGGTCGTCTCTCTGGTAATAAATGATACTTCATTGCTTCCATAATGAGTTTCTGACACTCTATGTCATCCCTAAAAAGTGCATTGTTTTCCATATCTGCCAGGAACTAGAAAAGAGTAGTAAGCGTGCACACTGAGTGGCCAAGAAAATAGAATAAGTGATGCAGTTTTTAAATGAAAATTCCTCATATTTTTAAAAAACTCAAGTGTGAATATTTTAAATATACAACTTACAAGATTTGCATTTTAACTGTCAATGAAAAACAAAAACCAAAGGATATTAATGGCACTCACTAAGATCTTAATAGTGCTTATCCTGTGAGAAGCAGGAATGTTATTTTCAAAGTAGTGTTTTTATTACTTTTCCATAATTTCTAGATGTTACAAATCACTTTATTTTTATAATTAGACATAATTTTAATTAAATAATAAGTAGGAGTTGACTAAACAGATTGCACTTACCTGACTTCTCTAAAACACCACCATCAAAAATAAAATACCAATTTCTCAAGGGGCAAAGAACTCCATATGGTGATTATTCTAAGAAATATTAAAATCCCTACATTTCACCAAATACTATTTAATTTTATACAAATGCACGATATGGTTACATAAACTTCTTTTACTCTTGCTTTATTGTCTGTTTTGCTGCATCTTAGCATTTTTAGTTAACAAAATCTCATAAAAATATCTCCAAGTCTTCCTGAAAAGGTATAATTTGATTTATTCTTTTTCATAAGTGAGTATTTCATAATGTATAGATATATATTAGTATTTTTTTGCCATTTCATTATGGAAATTAGATCTTTTCCGGTCTGTATTACATATACTCATACACATACTTGCACAAATTCATACATGTATACACACTCATTTTGTGTATTTGTTTTTTGCTAATAAAACAAAGTCTTCTACAGAAGTCTTTACATAACAATTTTACTTTTATGGGATAGATTCCTTGGAATTGAGCTGCCTGCAGGTAGATCAAAGAGTGTATATAAAGATATAAAAACTTCTGCTTGCTTTCTAGACGAGTTGTGATACTTCACTTTTTCATCCTTTTTTTTTTGTATTGGGGATCAAACTCATGACCTTGTGCTTGCAAGGCAGGCGCTGTGCCACTGAGCTATATCCCCAACCCTTGATCAGTATGTTAAAAGTACAACACTGTCACTAAGAAATATAAACATAAATATATACATACACATACAACACAGGTAAGTATACTACTCTCTGGTAGTTCATCAAAAAGAACAGCTTGTACTTTCACTGTGACCATCTTTTTCATGCCTAACTTGAAATGTGAACAACTATTTTGACGATTACAATATGCAATATATTAACTAGTGTTAATTTCCTTTTTTAAAAAAAGAATAAGTACATTAATTCTTTTTATTTTTATCAATTATGCCACATTTTTTCCCTCAGTCTGAATTTTTCTAATATGTGGGCATACGCTTTTCGTATTTTTGCTATTCATAGTTTTTAAATTCCACTTGTCACCCTCTTTTTTTCTATTAAATTGCTTATCTTTGGGACATTCAAGAGTTCTTTGTAACATACACATCCTAATCTTTTCATATTCAACTGTAATTTTCCTAGGTTTTTCATTTGTCTATTGAGGTTGCTTCATAATACTTTCATTTTTAGGCCATCAGGTAATGTGTCTTTTTGTGTTTCTGAATTGCCAGCTCTGTTAGTCTTTTTTTGCTCCTGTTTGGATGTAATCTCCTGGATTATCTGGCATGGTTTCAGAGCTTTATTTCTTTCATTCAGGCCATTGATCCATTGAAAATTAGGGTTGTTTTGAAATTCATTTTTTTGGTCTTTTTGAGGCAGGGTCTCATTCACACAGTTCAGGCTGCCCTTGAACTCACTTTGTATGTGTGCTGGGCCTTGAACTCACTTTGTAAACTGAGGCTGGCTCAACTCGCAGCAATCCTTCTCATTCAGCCTTCCGAGTGCTGAGATTACAGGCATGTGCCACCATGCCCAGCCTGAAATTAATTCTTAAACAGAATGTGACAGAAAGAGCCTTGTTTTTCTCCAGATGGCCAGTTCTGTACCAACACTCTTTATTAAATAATCTTTTCCATTTTCCAATGAACTGAACCTTGGCCACATATCACATTCTCATAAATATACATGAAGATATGTAAGATCTGCTTTTTTGATTCTTCTGTTCTATTTATCTGTTTCTATTCTAACACTGTTTCATTAGTGTCCTTATAGCATTTTCTGGTATGGTGATATGTGTTTCCTGTTACTGTAAATTTTCATTGCTTTCTTGGCTATTTGGAGGCCTTTATTTTCCATATAAATTTAATGCATATTTATCCAATTCTCTTTCATCATTCTGATTCTCTTGGCATTCTAAAATAAACCACTTAAATTTCCTTATTATTTTTGGGAGAATTTACATTTTATTACAGTCCTTCTGTTTAAGATGACTTTCCAAGTTGGGCATGATGGCACACACTTGTAATCCCAGCACTCAGGAAGCTGAGGCAACAGGATCACTGTGAGTTCAGCCTGAACTGCATAGCAAGACCTTGTCTCAAAAAAAAAAAAAAAAAAAAAAAACCTTTCCACATATTTTCTATTTTTTTTTTTGTTAATGAGAATGGATTTTTAAATTCTCATTCTGTACATGTCTTGCTGGAACAGAGAAAATCTTCTGGTTATCTTATATTTCTATTTTAACTTACTATGTTACTGTGACTAACTAAGCTTTAGTAGTTAAGCATACAGTCTTAACTGTCATCAGATATGGACAGTTTCACATAATAATTAGGGTTATAAGGAGTTCTCCATTTCTGGTTTGAGTTTATATATGGTATTACTGTTCACTATTTAGGATAATAATTTAATACTTTGGTAGTACTGAGTAACTCATCTATTTAGGTTCTATTTTACTTAAGGATTTTAAATTAAGAAAAGTTGCTAAATTTTTGGCAAAAGATGTATCTTTTATAGTTTATTGACATGGCCACATAGCTTTTTTCTTTTAAATTACTGATATAATGATTATCTTAGATTTCCTAATAATTACTCTTGTTTGCCTAGAAAAAGACTTTTCTGGTCAAAGTGTATTACCTTTTTGATACACTGCTGGGTTGTATTTGATAATGTATTTCTTTATGATTTTATTAGGTATATTTTAAATAACATAATCCATTTCAAGTAAACAGTATCTGTCTCAAACATTAATCTTTCTCTGTAGATGTGCCTTTTCTGAATATATTATGTAAACAAAATAACATATGGCCTCTTGTGCCTTGCTAAAATATGTGGTCTCTTGTGTCTTGCTTTTTCACTTTTTATGTTTTTTAAAAACTGTAAAATTGTTTTTTTGAAGTGCTAGGGATTGCACTCAGGGCCTCAAACATGCCAGACAAGCTCTCTACCACTGAGCTACACCCCCAGGTGTTTTTCTTTTGAAACACAGTCTTGCTAAATTGCTCAAGAAGTCTGAGTAGCTAGGATTATGGGAATGATTTACCACAACTGGTGTAAATTATATTTTATTAGTGCATAGTGGTTATATAGATTAATAGGTTTCATTTTGGCAGACCTATTTATACATATAACATACTTGAATCATTTTCAACACCTGGAACTCTTCTTGCCTTTCCTACCCTTTCTACCTTGCTCTCTACTTCTCAAACTAACACAAAAACAAAACACCCCAAAACTTAAGTAAGACACACATCTTGTGACATTGTTGGAGTGTAAATTGGTCTACATAATCCTGTATTTCTCTCCAGGCCTACAGAACATAATCATATTTGCCATACAAACCATTAGTGAATATGCACTGTTGGCTCCTTTAGTCTGAATATCTGTATGATTTCTGTTATACTTACTTTAGTCCTTTCCACATAATATGAAAAAATATAGAAGTCTTAAGAGATTTTGCAGAAACTACAATTTGAAATAAAATGCATTTCTTAGCATGTAGACAGTTTTTTTAAATTTCTTAATAAATAGAACTTAGGCAAATATTTAGGTAAAGAGATAAGAACAGAAAAAACACAAAACTATTAATTCGAGAAAAAGATTTATCAAAAAAGTAAGATTAAATAGAAGCTACAAGCTATCATTCAGAAAATTATTCAGAATGTACTGAGAAAGAACTATAAAATATAGATTCTAATATACTAATCTGTAAAATATATTCTAATATACTTTTGCAATTTCGCAAATTACAAATTTTCTAATATACCATTGCATTTTTGGTGGATGGAATTTTGGAAGGAATTTTTAAATTCCTTCTCTACCACAGAAGAATAGCAAACTATTAAAAGCATTTAGAATAGAAACATTTTCTAAGTTTTTATTTTCACTCCCATACTTGTTTGTCATATGACTATTTCTCTAAAATTGTCCATGCAAGCATAAATAGAATGTGAATGAGTTATGAGCTCTACAGACTTTTAAAAAAATATTCTGGTGTCCAAAACTTGTAAACTAAAAGACTGTTACCAGTGAATACTGATTTATTCTGTGCTTCTGACTTTTAGTAAAAAAATAATAATGAGAACTGAGAATGGCACAGTAAATACCAACATACTTGCAATTCAGGCTGTCGTTGGACACACAAACATTTTATGTGTTAAGATTTTTAAACTGGGCATGGTGGTATATGCCTGTTATCCCAGCACTCAGCAGGCTGTGGCAGGAAGGTCGTTGCAAGTTCAAGACCACCTTGGGTTACAAAGTGAGCTCAAGGACAGCCTGAACCACATAGCAACATCCTATCTCAAAAAGTCAAAAAACCCAAAAGTCTTAAAATAATATATATTTAACTTTCTCTTGTAGTATCTGATAATGTTAACATTTCATCCTTCTTAGACTAAGAATAAACTTTGAATAGTGCTCCAGGCAAAAGTAAAATAAAATTACCATAAACACTTGTGTTCTCAATTATTTCAGTTATTAAAAAAAACTCCTTAAATGATCATTTGGTAGAGGACTACAATGAAATATATTATTTTCTACACTATTTTAAAGACCTACTGTTGGAAACACTATGAAAAGGTACCACACACAAGTTAAATCTTTTCAAGCTAGGCTAAATAGATTTTTCACACCAACAGAGCAGCGAAAACTCTGTTAGCTGATATAAAATAAACTACCTCACAAAAATAAATTATCCAGGTTACCAGAACCAAAGTCAGTTTAAAAAATGTTAGTCATTATTTTACAGGCATTAGACAATTTTAACAACAGTCATATTTTCCTACCTTTTAAGATGTAACAGAACACAATCCAACATTTTTTTGATGATTTTAGTAGCTTTTTAGTTGATATTACTTGTTAACTAATTATGCAACCATGTCCTTCATTTTTATTAAGAATCAAAACAAAACACTGCCAGTTATCTTTAAGTGCCACAATATTACAGCACAATTCATCACTGTGGTAAAGAAAATCACTGCTCAGAGGGGAAGTAGCTGTTTAAATACTAGGCTATGTGGCCAATTCAATGTACATTCACCTTTTCCATCACCACTACTCTTTGTGGACAATGGTTCTCAAAGTTGAGGGTGCATTAAAGCCACTGCAGATTCATTACATCATAAGTGACTAGGTACAACATCACAGTTCTAGATTCAGTAGTTTTGGGTAGAGGCCCCAAAATCTGCATTTCAAATAAGCTTGCAAGTGTTGCTCATCTCATACTTTGAGAACCACTGGGCTAATGGAATGAACTTTTCCTCCTTATCCTACTATCCTACTAATGTTTTCTATAGCATCTGATGATTCTAACACTTACTCCTTCTTGAACTTGAAATCAACGTGCGCAAACAGCCACTAAACATTAAAATACCCTAGGGATTCGACCTTAGCATTCTTGGATTCTCATTGTTCAGTGTCATTCTCTTGCTTTTGGCTTCAACAGCTTAAATAACAGTGCTTCAATTTTTTCCTTAGACTTTAACATTAAAGGTGCCAAAAGCACAATTTTTTCTTTTCCATGTCCCAACTCATCGCTGGATCCTTTGTTTCAGATGACAACACTACTCTAGCTGTACGAATCAGAATCATTCTGGGCCCAGCTTAGAATTTGTATTCTCCACCATTCAGTCAGCCATTAAGCTGTGCCCCTTTGATCTTCTAGGCAGTTCTTGAACCTGGTAATTTCTTTCTGGCTTCACCACAGAGGCCCACTTTACATGGATGAACTCCCAACAGCCTTCCCAATGGGTCTAGTTTTGATCCTTCTGGTCTTTTCTCCACAATACAGTCATTTTTACAAAATAAAATTATAGTTATAGCATTCCCGTGTTATAAAATCCATCAGTCTTCTTATCGCTTTTAGTGAAACTCAACCTCCTTGGCATACCTAGAATTTCTTCATGATTTGGTTCATTTCTTTCTTCAAATGTACCTCTGGACATCATTCCTTTTATTCTACATGCTAGCCATGCAAATTACCTTCAAATTCCAGAATATGATATATTTACTCATGACTCATGACTCAATAACAAGGTGCAGTTTGCTTAATATCATGTTCCTTCATTGTGACTAAACCATGGCAGGTCAGGTGGAACTTCTGAAAGTTCTCCCTCCTTCTTGGTCATCAGCTTTTTTGGGGGAAGGATACTCCTACACTTTTACTTCATCTATCGTACCCTTCATATTGTAACCACACTTAGTTTTTAATCTATCTTTTCCTTCACCTGAGGTCCCTCCTCATTCAGCAATTCAGACATAGTACTAGTCAAGAAACAGAATGGTCTAGAAGAAAAGACACAGAACTGCACTTGTGTTCAAGTTCCATCTTGCCTCTCTTTACTTCTATGATTTCTATTTCAAGTAGCAAAGAAGAACAGTGTAGAAGGACAGGAATTTTTTTGTAACCACATAGTGACTCTGAACATACAGTTTTACTTTCTTTGCTCTGTTACTTCATTTATACCAAAGGTGTTGGACTAAATGATCTCCAAAGTGCCTTTCAACTGTAAGAATTTAAGGATATGACTGTCATCAGTACTCTCGATAACAGGAATTTTAAAGGTCTCCAAGAGGCAAATATAGTATCATAAATACTTGAAACTGCAGAACTGAAGTAAATTAACAGGTTACTTAACTGTATAGATTCTGTTCTACATCTAATAGGATTTTTTTGCATTTCATTTTCCTTTCATATGAAAAACAGTAAGAAGAAAATTCTCCTATGTTGCAGTAAAGCCATAACCCTTTTGGATTTCAAAAGAAATATTGTATTATTTTTCTTGAATGTCCATATTCTTGAATGTCCATCAGTTCATATAGTTTCAGTATGTATTCATACAATACTCTAAAGATGGAGTTGTTAGAACACATCAGTATTCAATTTTTTTGTTTCTATAAGATACAGTGCAAACTAAATTTTGCTCACAATACCAGGAAATAATATATTGTCCTCAAGATTAATACAAATAAAGTAATATTTATAGCATTTAAAAAAAAAGAGTCTGGCCTTGAACAGGACAAATCATGCTGTCTGTGTTTTTGAGGCCTTTTTATTCAAGGCCTTTCAATAGATAGCAAAGAATATGGGAAAATCTTTGTATATTCCAGTGAAAATTGACTGCCTCAAATATATCAACTAGGTATCACTTCATTTTTAAATAATCATATTATTTATAGCACATTTCATTTCACAGAGTATATTTCTGACCCTCATAATGATCCCATGTGACAGTCAGAAAGGATATTATCTCTATTTGACAGATGAAGAAACTGAAGTGTGTGACTATGGCTAGTCACAGTGTTTTAACATGTCAGAGCTGGAATTATTAAAATATTGGTTAATTTATATATCACCAGAATCCAGTGCTTAGTGTGGCAAACAAGCTGATCTAAATTTTCTCATTCCCAGAAACCACTGTTCCTTTTATTACCAAGTTCTTCCAATTGGAAGGATAGATTTGTAGCTGAGTCAGATGAAGTTATTAGTCCAAAATCAGAAATGTGGGCTAGGGATATAGCTCAGGGGCACAGCGCCTGCCTGGCAAGCATGAAGTCCTGAGTCCATTCCTGGTACCCACAAATAAATAAACAAACAAGTAAAAAAACAAAAAATGAAGGTCTACACCATCCCCATTCCCTTTAAAAAAAAAAAAGAATCAGAAATATAACTGATGCAGTTTAGGTAGCCAGCTACTTTGAAGTGAAAATACAGGCAGAATTCTCTCATATTCTCCCTTTTTCTCGCTTGTGCTCTCTCTCTCTCTCTCTCTCTCTCTCTCTATATATATATATATATATATATATATATATATATATACACACACACACATATATAGATATATAGATAGATAGATAGATAGATAGATAGATAGATTTTTGTTTTGAGACAGAGTCTCACTATGCAGTTTATGGTGGCTTTGAGCTCACTTTGTAGTCCAGGCTGGTCTTGAAATTTCAACGATTCTCCTGCCTCAGCCTTCTGAGTACTGGGATTACAGGTGTGTACCATCATACCCAGCCTCCACCTATATATTTTATACAGATATGTGTAAAAGTTACTTTGATACAGTAAGGAAAAAAAACCTCTACAAACAAGTACCTATTACTTACTTGTGGTGCAAGAAGAGGTAGCCTAATATAAGCTAAAAGTTTACTAAGATCTTTTCGTCTCTGCTCCAAATCATGACGGACCCAAGTGAGAAGTGCATTCAATATTGTCTCCTCATTAGGAATGTTCATGTCATCACTGGCCAGAAGCTTTGCAATTTCGCTGGCTGGTAGTAATACAAACTCCTGGTTTCGAATTACTTCCATGAAATGTTCCTAGAGGGAAAAAAGTAACAATGAATAGTACTGTACCTTTTAGTCATTATAGTTTACTTAACAGGAACCTTTTTTGCACTAAATAACCCGCAGAAAATTTATATTTTATACCTTACAATGTATTACCACCTAGCAGAAAAGAAATAGCAGAAAGAAGCCTTTAAACTACAATCACGTTGCTAAACTTAAGTAAAATCAAAGTCTTATATTATTCACATTTTTAAGTATTGATATTTAAGTATTGTTTTGCCCAAGTCAGAGAACAGTTCTATCAAGTTTTTTGAAAGAAGATAGAAAAAAAAGAATTAGATACTGAGAGTCATAATGTTCTAACAACAGAAGTTAATTTGGATCTGTGGTTGCTGAAGAATTCAGACAACAGTGAAGCCAAATAACCTGGGTGAGTTTCAAGGCATTTTGCTTATCCAGAAAGCACTTCCAAACTGGTCAGACTTCCCAAGGATATTTTAGATATGGTTTTCTCATACCTTGCCTGGGAGGCTGATTTGACCTCAAGGTCATTCTAAAAATAATTTGGCCATTAAAATTATTTTAATGTTATTTATAAGATCACCAGAATTTTAGCTCTGGTCTGAAAATTTTCGTATCTTCTAATCAGACTTATATACAAAGTTATTTCAGCTCCACAGTGGGGAAAATAATAAGCAAAAGTATTAACTTACAATGCACAAGGATCAGGACCTTAGGTCGAGGATGACTCAGTCCTAGCTGCATACTACAAGCAAGCCCTCTGTAATTTGAAATGGGAGCTAGAAATGCCTTCAGGTGTGAGATGACCATAATAGGTTCTCACGCTAAATAATCTGGAGAAAAGGAAGTTGTATCCTCTGATTTGAAGGTCACAAATCTGGATGAATAGTTAATTTATATTTTTAAGTAAAAATGCACATGCTAGCCATAGTTCTTTAATGTTTTTCTTATACTTCCTAATGTACTATTCCTGTTTCAGCATGTAGAGTTTTAGTAAAACAGCTAAGACTGTTTAAATTAGAGCTAGAGATAAGATCTGTCAATAACTATCTTCTGTATTAAAATGAGAATCATACTTTGTTTAGCCTGTGTAACTCCAGTGAAGTACTGATCTAAACTATCTATTCGGTTGACATTCATTTCAGCAGAAATTGTTAAAAGGGAAATTCACGAATAATTAAATTCAATCGTTCTAACTCATGATGATTTGATACCCAAATGAATCTATTTTAAATGACTGATTTTTATTTTCAGAAATATATTTTAATAAAAATATCAATGCTGGAATGGCTTCAAGCAAATTATACTCAGTTGTACACTGGCATTAAAAATAACTTGGTAGTATATAACAAGAGATATAAAAATGTCAAAACTCTCAATCCAGTTATTCCACTTGTGGTTTAACCTTTAGTAAATACTTCATAAGTAGAAAACAAAGGTGAATACCTAACAATGCTTCTTTGATTATTATTTATAACAGTATAATCTAGGAAATAGCTTAAATCTCTAACCAAAGAAGGCTGCAACTCAATGGATTGTTAAAGACAATATAAATCTTAAGGACAAAGATAACATAGCTATATAAAAATATTTATTATAGAGCCTGCCTGGCAAGAGCAAGGTCCTGAGTTCTATTAGGAATCAGTACCAAAAAAAAAAAAAAAAAAAAAAAAAAAAAAAATTACAGAATGCTATGTAAGATTGTGAAAGTTAAAACATACATTTCTAGTTGTGTAAAGGTATGGCATAGATATAATCAACATATTTATACAGTACTAGTGTAACTGCTGCTGCACTTTCAAATGGCATTAACTGTATTTCATCAGTAAGAAAATTATTATAAACATTCACTTGATGAATGTATCTATTTCCCACAAATTAGAAAATATTACTGAATTCTAGTTTATATACACAGTTTTTTTTTTGGTACTGGAACTGGAAATCAAGCTCAGGACCTTGTACTTGTCAGGCATGTGCTTGTGCTGCTGAGCTATATCACTTGCCCAATACAAAGTTTTTTTGAAAGTACAATATTGATTTGGTTTTGAAGCAGTTATTTTAGCAGAATTCAAAATTATGTTTTCTAAACTGAGAGATAAATTTCTGAATTTTTAAATGTTTATAGTTGTGCCATAGATCCATAATGATATTATGTAAGTGTAATGAAAGAACGATTCTTACGCTACTTTTTAAGAGGTTATATGACTTGCTCCAGGCATGTTCAGTGGCAGTGAAAAACAGACCCAAAGTTTCCTGACTCTAGAATCCTGAGAAGGGACTCTATTCTTTCCTCCTTTCTGTCCTGTATCAGACATGCTCAGTACAAGCATCATTTACTGATGGAATTCAGTGGCAGAGCATAATTCTTACCCCATATTTTAAATCCATTTTATGATACAATATCATGCTACTGAACACTTGTTAACTTTATGTCCTTTCCCCCTTTGAAATAGTTTTAAGCAAATTAAATTACTGAGGGATTTATTTAAATTGAAGATTGAATTTTGTTATACATTTTTATTCAGTTCCCATAGCAACAATTCAAATCAGACAATTTGCCTCTAAATTACTTATTGTTATTAGAATTCCATTTTGTCTATTGAAACTAAGTTACATTAAATAATGACCTTGAGGAGAAAAATCTAGCACAACTAATTGGCTATGAAAATAGCTTTAAAAACATCTAGCTAATTTAAATTTAATTTGTGTCTAAGCCTTAAAGCAGCAATCATGCCTCTACTGTAAACAACAGGAGTGACCTAAATGCATACAAATGTTTTCACACAAATAAAACTCCAACATAGGAAAGGCATATTTCTTAAATTATGAACTTATTAGAAAGAAAAAAATCCAGCTCTATTTTATGCATTTATTTTCATCTTATTCCAAAAGATACTTGAAACTGCAAGTGTATATCAAAATAAGAACTCTATAAAGGAGGATAAAGATGGGGAGGGTTTCAAAGGATATTTAAAAAATATTAGCCTACCCTCTTCCTGAGTCTGTATATTATCATCCTGCTGCACAAGCTCTTATTTTTTCACTTGAAGCTCTGTGAAGCGATCCCCACAGGGATAGAACACAAACCATAAAGGTGTAGTTTTCTATGCAGGCTTCTGTTTCTTTATATAAATCCCTACTGTGTTGAATATAGTAAATTTATGTGATGATAATTACAATCATATGAGGATATCTAGTAACTGGATGTGATTGCTAATCACTATTTTGATCTTAACCTTGGTCAATATTTAGTCCTCATACCAAGCTTGTGAAGTAAATAGAAAGAATTTTCCCAGTAGTGTGGAAGTATGTACCTATTCTTAAAACTTTCCCAACCCTCCACCCCTATCTCAATCCTCTCTCTGACACAAGGTCTTTTTATATAGTCCAGGCTGCCTTGAACTCATGATATAACCCAGGCTGGTCTGAAGCTTGTAGTGATTGTTCTCTCTCAGCCATTTGGGTGCTGCGATAATAGGAGTGCACCATTGCACTTGGCCAAATCTCTCTGGTTTAACCAAAGATTCCTTTGCTGTACAAGGTGTCCCAGGCCTGCACCCCCAGCTCTTAGGAGGCTGAGGAAGAAGGATTATTGGGAGTTCAAGGCCAGTCTGAATTACATAGGAAGACCCTGTCTCAAAAAGAAAAGGAAAAAAGATTCCCTAAAGCATTGTCATCTTCGTGGATAAACCAACTCAATGGGACAGTGAAAGCATGGAGGATAGAACAGAACAGACAAAAATGGTATTTCTTAAATCTTGGTAAAATTAATAATATACATAAATGCATACATGCAAGTGAATGTTCATATTCTTCTTTTCCTTAGAAGCTATATTGCCTTACCTAGAGCATTTAAAGCATCAGTATTGAAATCATTACCCTACAGGAATGTGCCAGATGGTCATTTCTTAAAAATCTATGTACCCTTTCTTTTCCATATCCTTCTATTGTTAAGACCATGATGTCCTAACAATGTGACCTCACATACCTTTACTTTCTTGTTATTCTAGATGAATCTGAGTCCCATTATAGCCCAAGCTACTGAATCAGTGGCTTCTCTACTGATTTATTTTGAGCACAGTTTGGTGTTATTAATAATAACATTGTTCTACATGGTTGCAAACACTTTTTGCATATAATCAGTCATCCTTAATAAATGTCTTCCATCCAACCTCTTATCATTTGTTTTAGCACTGTACCAATACAATACGACCACTATCCCTAATTTCCATCAGTGAATCTGAACAATTCTGAAATTAATCTATGTGTTGTAAAGTAAACTGTTTGGGGATGTCCTCCTTTAAAAAGCAGCAGATCTGAAAATCTTGACGGCACCAGTCCCAGACTACTTCTCTGCTTCTTAGTGACCATAGTAACAGGACTTCACACATACAGCCTGGAGAAATATCGCTTAGTGTTTTCGTCTAACTCACACTACACTATAGCCTGAACCTCAAAACTTGTAATAAGCCACACAACAATAGCAACTTTAGATAAGTCAGAATCAAACAACAACAAGGAAGCAAGTGAAAAGGACATGACTTCTTGCTTTTCAAATACATACCATAGTATAATTGTGAGCCACTTTGTGCAAATCTGTACAGCCTTGGGCATCAGCAAAAGAACGGATTCCAAGACAGTTGGATGGGTGAAGCTGTTTCATTAAAAACTTACAGCATGCCTCCACAACCTGTGAAAGCTGAAGGAGGCAGGCTGTAGATAACAGGCACTCAATATTATCTTCTTTTAATTCAAGGCGGCCTTAATGATAAAAAGAAATTCCATTAACTTATGGAACTACATGAACCTTATTTCATACAATACCTGATGTTAACAGTAACATTTCTAAATAAGAGCTCATTAAATGCACTGCAGACCAAGAAAGTTTAAGACATTTCAAAATGAAGAAAAGTATTAAGTATGGGAAAAAATTATTAGCTCTTTATGACTGGTATTAAAATAAAAAACTTATTTTCAGAATTTTTAAATGATGTATTAGTTAGAAACTTGTGTCTGCTATATATAGCTCCATTTTAAATGCAAAATTCTAATTGTATAACATAATTCATCTAGTTATTATACTAATATTTTAAACTACCATTCAAAAGCTTCATTATGAGAATTACTTTAAATGTTTTAGTATGGAGTTTTTAATCTATTTAGATATCACCAGGGGTGGTGATAAAAATAGCAGATTAACAGTTTTATTAAAAGCAAAAATTTGAAATCTAATAGCATAATGTAAATACAAGAGGTTTTAATTTACATGTTCAGCCTTACATTACCTGTATATGCATACTGAATCAAGGACCATAATGAGTTTGGCTCTACACCTTCCAGTTTTATTTCTTCTTGTCTTGCTTCTCTGACATCATTAGTAAACATGGCAGCAAAATAATCTGAGACAGAGGAGAGCACCAATCTGACAATGTGAGAGGGTGAAAAAAATCAATAACCACATTCAAGTTGATGTTCATTAATAAATGCTTTATCACCTTCTTTTTTAAAATTGATTACCCATGGAAAGTACATGGTACTGAGAAATGCATTTTAAGTTTGACAAATTGCTTTATGCTCTGCTTCCTTTCTTTGAATAATAAATTACCATTACCGAAAATTTTCTGCTGAGGTAAATGATTTACCTGCTCAATTCTCAAATACTGTTGTACAACATTCAGCAAACAAGGCACAAGCCCACAGTATTAAAATTGACTACATAAAAAAAGGAAAAAGGTAAAGGTCACTTGTATTTATAATTTTGGAAAATAATCTTAGCTATTCTTTTAAAAGTTTAATTGTAATGAATAGATATATTTGTAAATGGTTTATCAAGGTATTGTTAATTTTTGGCATTTTATCATAATATACTATGTACTTTATTGTAAAACCATAACATTTATGTTATAATACTACATAGCTATAATATTGTTATGATATAGTATATTAGCTGTCTCTGCAGGATTTTTGACAATTGAATATAAGTAAATTATAAACATATATATAATTTTTGAAGCATGAAGCTTTTTTTTCACTTAATCATAGTCTTGAAGATATTTCTATGTTGGCACACTTATATGAGTTTACTTTATTCAGTTTTAAAAGTAAAAAGTGTGATACAAATAATAAATGAAGCTCCTTTTGTGTTGCTTTCTAATTCCATTCTGCTTCCTCCTTAAAAGTGTCACTGCTGAGTCATAAAGTTTGCCAAATTGTTCTCCAAAGCACTGTACCAGTTTAGATACCCACCAGCATTGTGTAAGATTTTTTTTCAAATATTTACTGGTCACTCAGTTTCCTTCTTCAGAGAATTTTTTATCCATTAATTTATTCAATGCACAAATACAAATGTGTGCCTAATAAGTACTAGGCTAACTGCTCTAGATTCTCAAGACAGCTCAGTGTACAAGACATGCAAACCCTTCCTACATTTTAAGAGAAAGGGAGAGAAACAATCAACAAAGGTAATGTCATAGTGTATTAAAAGATGGTAAAAGGTCCAGGGTGAAAACAAGTGGCAACAGGCGGGGAGTGTAAGAATGGACCCCCTGCATGGTGGGTGATACGCGAACCAAGACTTGGAGGAGGAAAGGGTGTAATCACACAGGAATCTGGGCAGAAGCAGCAGCCACCGCACAGGCCTGAGGCAGAAGCAGCGCGGCTGGCAGGTAGAGGGCTATGCAGGTCTGTGTGGCACACAGGAAGGGAGCACGGAGCACAGCAGGACAGAACATTCAAGACGGAGTGGCAGCCGGTCACGAGGTGCACCTTAGCTTTCACGGGAGCAGGACTGAAGTTCCATGTTCAGGGTGCTCAGGCTGTTGTGTGGAAAGGATGGAAGTAGGAGGGCCAGTGAGGAGGCTCCTTTCAGTGTGATCGAAGGAAGGCAGTGATGACGTACACAAGCATGGCAAGGCAGACACAGCACTACATTTAGTTTTGGAAATACAGCAATACCTCGGTTCACAAATGCTTGTCTTCAAATAATTCAGTTCCCAAACAAAGGTGTTCAGCAAAATTTTGCTTCTGTGCAGATTTTCACAATCTGCACTGGGTGACAAACATGACTACAACCCTCTTCCCCATACAAACACTAATGTATCCATCTTCCCCAAAACCATAAAATGAATTAAGTTTGTAAACCAAGGTACCACTATAGTAGTGACTTTGATGGCCTCTGTGAAATTCAGGTTAAATATCTTTTCTAATAAACTCCTACTCATAATATTAATATTCTGTCACAAGCATATAGTAGTATCTCATTAAATGTGTGCTAATTGATAACTCTATGTATGACCAAGCTCAATGATTTGTTTCCAATGATTTGCTTCCACTTTGGAGGGTTTTAACAAACCTTTGGGGTAAAGTGTTAATTAGCTTTAAAGGGCATAAAAACCCTTTGGAATTACAGTGGTGATTAACAGTGAATAAATGAATGAGTACACAATCATCAGAAGAACATGTATGACTCCTTGCTAGACAATTCTTTCATTCTTCTCACTTTAAGAATACTACATCATTTTTCTTAGAGGCTTTCCATAATTCTTACTAAACAGTTGGAATACATGAGACTATTTAAAAATTGTTAAGTGGCTGGATGTGCTGGTGCAAGTCTGTAATTCCAGCACTCTAGGAGGCTGAGGCAGGAGGATTCCAAGTTTGAAGGGACTCTTGGCAATTTAGGGACTTAGAAGCTGTCTCAAAATAAAAAATACAAAATAAATGGGTTGGGGACATAGTTCAGTATGAGGGTCCTATGTTCACTCCTCAGTACCACAAAAAACAAAAGCAAAGCAAAACAAAACTGTTAAGGTTCCAAGGATGTAGCTCAGTTGTAGGAAACAGGCTTAGCATGTGTGAGACCCTGAGTTCAATAAGCATCAGCTCCCCCACCCAAATATAAAAACTATGAAGACTTTTAGGAACTCTACCAGGCCCCTTTTTTTGCTTGTAGCTACTGATATATGCTAATTTCCACTGAGTTTATTTAAAATATTTGTAGACTAACAAATGAAAGCTGTTATAGTCACTGACATGTATAATCAACACTATTGACTTCTTTGAGGCTAATTTTTTTGATGTGCTAGTAAAATGGGGAAATGACCATTTTGAGATCATTCAATGTGTAGTAAAATCATACACACTGTTTTCTTTATGGAAACTCCCTCAGATATACCCCTTCCCAAAAGCACTAGTTAATGAGGATAACACTGCCTTATGTAATTAAATTAATCCAGGAAACATTTCACACATATAGCTATTTAGAACACAATTACCTGTGAGCTGGAATTCTGCGATCACCAGCAACTAAAATTACATCACATAACTGTTTATGTCTCAAATAGTTTTCCATTTTTTTAAATGTTTGTTCAGCATGATTAAGGGCTTGAAAAAATTCATCGGATGAACATGGCTCCATAGTATGACAGGATGATAATGTTTGACTACTATTGGAAGTCCTAAAATGAAAGAAAACATACATTATGAAATATTACTATTACGTTAAAAAGACTTTCCTACTAAGTTCTTTTAAAACCTTAATAGATTTCAGTATTAATGTATGTTCATTATAGTACCTTTGTTTCATAAAAATGAATGATTCCCCAAGTCTTAGTGTGTCTTGTAAACACTAAACGAAATGACATCTACCTGTTAGCTAACAGTTTCACATACTCTTTGTAGTACCGTACCTTCTTGGAGGTGTCTGGTATACCCAACATCTCTGCTGAAAACAAGCCGATCTATATTTATAGCCATAGTTGTGCCTCTCAACATTATAATTAAAGATGTAAGTGATCATCCTTTTCTTTGAAGGCAAGAAAGCAATTAACCTGTTTTGAAGGTATAAATCCAACTCATCTTTTACTAAAAAGTGCATTATGTTCCACAGCCCACTTATAAATTTCATGGTCATACAAGCATTGTTAAAAATAATCTTTTTTATGTTCTGGCCAGTCCTCAAAACCCCAGGTACCATGTGTAAGTTACATTAGATTAAAGCAATTTGAAGATGTAAATCCAAGTGTCCAGAAATGATCTGAATTTCCCAATTAATGAAATGAGTTACATGAACTCCATGTTTTTATGTGATTTACTGATGAAATTGTTAGGATTTAAATAAAGTTCTGAGTCCATGTTTGCCACCGCCATCTCCTCTCCAGGATCATTTAAATCAAGTAATCAGCATCCATTGGTTATGCAATTAACTAAAAGCCACCGACTATGCTGTAACTTAGTTTTCATTTCTCATCAGATGGTAAGGATATTATGATTTTAATGAATACTTTGTTAAATCAAATTTCACTGTATCTTGAGAATTTTTTAAATGGAACTAGCAACCTTATCATAAAAAGAAAAATAGTCATTGGAGCTCTTACTTTTTAAAATTAATGGAAGGAAAGCCAAGAAAATTAAGTCTTGCCAAGCATTGGTCTGTTCATGGCAGAAACAAGGCTAGGTTAAGAGATTGCTATATAGTTATCAAAAGAAATCCCCTTCTCTTTTTTCTCCTGGGAATGTAGCTAGACTGCATTTCCCATATTTTTCTGCAGATAGGTACGGTCGTGTGTGTATGTGTGTGTGTTACTGGAGACTGAACCCAGGACCCTGGAACTGGGCTACACCTCCTGGTTCTCCAACATCCCTTTAAAAATATCTCATTTTAAGTCAGGGTTGTATTAAGTCTCTAAATTGCCCATGCTGGGCTTGACTTTTGTGTTCTCCTGCTTCAGCCTCCCAGAGTGCTGGGTGGTCGTATATGCCTTACAGGTGTGGTCACATGTCTCACATAGTTCACTGTAGCTAAAGCAGATAATAAGCTTTCCCATACTTTCTGAGGACTTAGGAAGAAGTCAAATAAATGAAAGGCCACTGCAGCAAGAATACTCACAGATTATACTCACAAGAACACTTATTTTGGACTGGGATTTAACTTTCTGAAGTCAATTGGCCCTTGACTTATAAAATATCCCTTTCTAAATTCTTCCACTCCAATACATTTTTAGAGCCACAGAAATATGGGCACTAAAAAATGCTCTTGGGTGGCTATGGGTGAAGTTCAATAGTATAGCATGTGCTTAGCATGCGTGAGGCCCTGAGTTTGATCAACAGTACCAATCAAGCAGCCAAACTGAAAAGTTCTTTGAGGACAGTACGTGTGTTGTACACTATGAACATTACTGTCATAACTCAGTAAAATACATACTCAACTTCATGTTTAAAATCATTTTAAAATTGTGTTGAGCAGTGTGGAATTACAAGCTACTCATATAGAAGAATTAGAAACTATTTTAAGGCCAGGATTTAGCTCACGGCATAAGAGCCTGCCTTGCAAGCTCATGGTCATGAGTTCGATCCCCGGTACCAAAAAAAAAAAAAAAAAAAAAAGAAAGAAACTATTTTAAAAACTAGGGAAATAAAATAATGATGGTTTGATTGTGAATAATAATTTGAAGATTTAAAACGCTTTAATAAAATGAAGTTTTACATTGTCAAGATATTGGCAAAGCATTAGTTATCTGACAAAAAATGAAAATACCTAATTTTCATAAGAAATAAATTTCAAGAACAAAAATAAAACAAGTACTATTTTTGTTATTGGTTTTTGAGACAGGGTTTTACCATGTGGCCCAGGTTAGGTCTCAAATTTGCAGCGATCCTCTTGCATGCTGATCACACACCTGGCCAAGTACGTTTTTCTTAAGGTTTCTGTGTTTATTTTTATCGTGTCCTATACTTGACATTACACTGTCATTAATTACCAAAGAGTTAGTTGAATGAGTCAAATGCCATCATTCAAACAATAATCAATGTTAAATTCTGAAAGCACAAAACTTTATAGTGCTATCACCAAGTAATTACATGCTACTTGTGGTGTTAAGAGTATATCTGATGAAAAGACAATTTCTTTTCTTATCTTACTTATGGTGTTTGGGATCCCTACATTCACTCATTTCCAACAATTCAATTCACCAAGTCTCACTGTAATTTTCAAAATCCCTGCGGGAGATTCTAACATCTCACAGGCTGAAAATCACTGGGTTGCACTTCAGTCAAAACATGGATATGTCACAAAAAACAGTATGTGATAACCTATAGTTCAAAACACTGACTTATACAATGGATGCTGAACTTCCAAGCATGTAAACAGAATTTGCTTGAATAAGACTTTAAATGAGCTAGCAAAACTTAAGGAATATTTGTTACTCTCAAAATGAGCACAGGCACCCTCCTCACCTGCCTGCATAACCCCCAGCTCCACAGATGACACAGTTGCAGAACCTGACCAGGCAGCTGCCATGCCTTCCTCAGGGGCAGCTGCACCCCGTCCTGTGAAGGACAGCAGCTGTCATCAGTTACTACTGATGCCTCTATCCCTGTGCCTGGCCAGCCACAGGGCCCACGATAGGCGAAGTCTGGAAGAGCACACATCCTCCTTCCGCAGATATATAGCTGGTGCCCTGCCCCAGTGTCAATGCGACTGCTGCACAGACCATCTCCATGCAGCAGTTAATTTTCCTTTTGACCACCCCAGGCCAGGTGTGCTGTCCTTCCTGCAACAAGATGATCATGACACAGCTGTCCTACGATGCTGGTGTTCTCACTTGACTCTTCTGTGGGAGCCTGTGCCTACTGGAGTGCACAACAGGGTGCAGCTTCATCCCTTTCAGTGAGGGTACCCTGCAGGGCATGGACCACTACTGTGCTAAAGGCAAAACCTCTTGGGCACTTCTAAGATCTTGCAGGATATGGTAGATTAGTGTACTGCAGGAAGTTGCCTACTGTCTCCCAGTCCTGGAAGAGATTCTACTCCAGTGGTTCATCTCTCCATCACATCTTTTATTAAGCAGATGTCACAAAAATAAATCTCCAAACCCCAGAAATTGTTGCTTGAGGACAGTGATATAGCTCAGTGGCACAATGCCTGCTTAGCAAGCACAAGGTCCTGAGTTCAATTCCCAGTTCAAAAAAAGAAAGGAAGAAAGAAAAAAAAGGAAGAAAAAGAAATTGCTGTTTAGAGTCACGCATGGGATGGCAGACACTGACCCTGAGTGATGTTGGTTCAGGGTTTTTTACCTACCCAATACCCTGAAGTCACTCCAACTGACTGTTCCCCATCTCAGTATCCTCTGGGGATGTTGGCTGTCTTGATGGACCTTCCTGATGGTGGTCTCAAACTAAGAAACCTTGGTCTACCTTACTTTTGAGATTTTTCTGCCAAGACCTTGACTGAACTGGTCTTCAACCTTCATGCACCTCTTCCCATTCCAGTGATGAAAATCTTGTCTTTGAGACTTTTGGGCACAGCAGTTAAGATTCTATATTCACAGACTTTGTTAGCACTCGGGCTTGCTTAATTTCTTAATGTTCTTTTAAATGCATGAGAGGGCTATTAACATGTACCAGACATACATCTGTGAGGTCAGAAATACAAAATACAACAGGACTAGATTTTATCATTGTTCTGGCTTTCTTTGTGCCAAATCCTTACTACCACTTTATATGAAGGGACATTCTTTCCTCATGGAGTAACTGTACCAACAGTTTTATGTCCTCCTTTTGATCTTAAACATCTTTAAACCTATTTTTGAAAGTAACTATATGATGGATGTCATTTTCCCATTTCTCCAGGCTGCCTCTCAACCCCCTCCAGGCAGGGTCCCAGGAGCTTGCTGTTTTTGCCCAGGGTGGCCTAGCACTCAAGTGATTCGTCTGTCTTGGCCCCCTACTAGCTGGGACTACAGGTGCCTGTCTTGTTTTGACAGAAAAAGAAATGGGAGACTTTAATGCACTGACTTTTCATGAGTTTAACATGGTTCTTAAAAACTTCTCAAAGTGGGGCCCATCTTGGGGTTCCCGGCAGTGTGAGCAGAGGTGAAGCAAAGTGTGACAAGACCCATCTGGGTGTCATGTTGCTGAGAGGTTTGACTCGAAGGAATCTAGGAATCTTGATTTTATGTTTCAAAGATACAACCTGTTGTATAATATCAGCACGATTTCTAGGACACAGATGACAAGCCAGAGTCTTCTGGGTTGGCCACTGTGTTGTCTTTGAAATGGAGACAGACTGGGCATGCCTTTCTATAGGCTCTTTCAATATAAAGTGTCACAGGGAACTCATGATTAACAGTGTGCAGAAATCAAACTTGACCTTTGAATAAAAATCTGTATATTGGTTGAAAATTATAAGCATTAATCCAACTTATTCACACAATGTTTTGAAAATGCCAGTCACTATTTTTGCAGTGAATTATGTACCACGTAGTATTTTGATATCATCTACTTTTAAAAAATAAAGTCTTGGGCTGGGGATTTAGCTCAGCAGCTTAAGCGCCTGCCTGGCAAGCCTGAGGTTGTTAGTTCAATCCCTGGTACCAAAAAAAAAAAAAAAAAAGGAAAAAAATAAAGTCTTCAGTTCACTCAGTCTATTTATGCCCCCTTCCCACACAGGTCAGCAAGTAGGTAAAACATCATAACTATACAAACATTAACAAAAAATAACTTGTATTTAAAATAACATTTCAAACCTTTATTTGCTATCAAGTCTTTCAACTGTCACATGTTAAATGAACACATTACTGCAATGTAATAATTAACTCAGTGACATTTTTAAATATAGAAGTTGCATCCATTGCTCTAAATGAAGGCTGAAAAGAAGTATAGACTTCTGATGTGTATCCTACTGAAGAGTAAAGCCGCTGATGACAAAATGAGCACAAGTAGTAAGGAACAGAGATATTCAGTAAGCTTGAAGAGTTACACGGTTTTCTAGCTGAAAATTCATGTTTTTACTTTTTAAAGAGATTTCAGACTTCATACTATAATTTTAACAGAAGAATTTACTTTTTAAAAATTACTGTACACTTTCCCATACAACGCTTGGGCACTGAAATATAGGCATCAAACAATTATACAGGGAATTTTTACAACTAGAAGAAGCATATTTGGTCATTTTATCTTGTCTTGTTTGTATATGAGAAAATAGGAATTCTATTTATTTGTCTTCACGTCTTATACCTTCTGATGGTAATTTTGAATTCATTCTTTATCTCTCCTACAATAATGAGTTTTAGCTGGACATATGGCTTCCCAGGTAGAGACTATACCTCAGAACCTCCTATGTAACCAGTTGCAGACATACCACTGTTTCATCAAGGAAATGCAAATGGCGCTGATACATTCAAACTGTGACACTGGCTTAATCTTTTCTCTTTTCTTTCTTTGGTTCTTCTCACAAACTGAAATGTGGAGGGAAGAGGAGTAAGCCTTGACCAGGCAGAAAGGAAACACCCCACAGAAAGGAGAAATAGTACAGAAGGAAGATGGATCTCTGAATGAACTTGTGAGACAGAATGACCTATCTGCCTGGACCACCTGCCCAGCTGTCAGGAGACAGAGAAACTTCTATTTAAGCCACTGTGTGTTTGCATCTCTGTGTTATATGATCTTAGTTTTATTTCCTGAACTGAATGATATGTATATGTGCGTGTACATGTATGAGCCACTGTTTTCAAGTTTAACATATCTGATTCTGAAACTTTAAACTTCACTATCCAGTTCCAAATGGAATACAAATAAAACAACATGTAGCAGACAGTTTTTCTGCTTTAACAATCTGGAGTTAAAAAGGCCCATTGCATGACCGTCATGCCTAACCTTTTCCTAAGGTGATCAACTGCCAGCTTCTTGCAGATCCAGGAACTTTTCATGATTTCAATAAATTTCTATTTTGTGTAAATTATCCAATCAATTTCAGTTACTTAAGACAAAGAGCCCTGACTGACAAAGCATAAAGGCTTCAGAGGGTTTAGGAACTCCTTAAACTAGTAATAAGTATGTAATACATAACAGTATTTTCTGGGCAGAAGTTACATAGCTTATGTCAGACTCTCAAAGAAGCCACATGTGATGTGGGCAAATGTGTGTGAGCAAGGATAATATACTATTGTGTATTATTCCCAGATACAAGAACACAGACAAACTCTTTGCCACATCTAGAAACAAATATTATTTTCATGTGTGAATGTAAATGATTTAAATTTAAAACTGAATCAGAATTAGACAGATCAAACAACAAGACCCAGACACAACACAAGGAAGGCCAAGAAAAAAGGAGACAGCTCATGTTGGGAGAGGAGGATGGAAATGACTTCAAGATGAGGAAAACACAGTAAATCAAATGACCCAAAGCACAGCATTCAGGATATCTAGCATTGAAATACAGAGTAGACAGCAACCAGTGAGATAGAAAACTGGAGTTTTGTTGCTGTTGAGAGATTGTGACTGTAATCACGAGGTTTGGCATTTTCAAGAGTTAGTTAAAAAGAATTAACTGGGGAAAGAAGGTGAAACTTGTTAGTCTGAATTAGCTATTTGTTAATTCAAGGTGAACTCTATGATTAAATGAAAAATTAGAGTTCTGTATGCAGGCAAGAATGCTTTGAACATTGAGAGTATGAATTCTCTACCCCTTAATTGGTTCAAAAGTCAAGCTATTTCCAAGTGATCAGAGTTAGTATCTACAGTGATAAAGCAGGTTAATAGCATGTACTCTTGGTATAATTTAAGGAAAATAACACTGTGTCTCAATGGTATTCTCCCTCCAAAGCCATAATCCCAGTGTAATCATGAAAAAAAAATTCAGACAAACCACCCCTGAGTAGGCCATTCTACAAACCAACAGACCGATACTCTCAAAATTGCCGGTCATCAAAAATAAGGAAAATTTGAGAAAATGCCACAACTCAGAGGCTTCTAAGGAGACATTATCACTTAATCTAATTTGGTATCTTGAGCAAAATCCTGGAACAGAAAAGGAATGTTAGGTAAGAAGTTAAGAAAACCCAAGTGAAGTACAGACCTTAGTTAATGAACAATAATGTATCAATACTAGTTCATTACCATTAGTTAATGGTAACTGATGCTGGATTAATGTGAGTTATAAAAAACTGGGTATGGGGTATATAGCAACTCTGTATACCAGCTTTGTAACTTTTCAATAAATCTTCAATAAAATTATACTAAAAAGGTTTGTTTTTAAAAAATGCAGCCACTTTACTGAGCAAGTTAATTAGGCTGTCAGTGCCTCATTTGTAAAATCAGAATAAGGTTTACCTGATAAATATAGCAGTTTAGCTTAAAAACACTGTTGTAAAGACTAAATGAGTTAAAATAAGTATGTTGAAGTGCTTAAAACTTCTTGTTTCACAAAAGTATTCAGTACCAGCTATGATTATTTTTTAAATATTTTAAAAGTGCAATGTTTTATTCAAGTTGATCAACATACAGTTTAACATCTACAATACTTAATCTTATAAACTAATTTGAAATAATGAAATACCACCAATTTAAAAGATGTAAAAAAATTACTTAATTTCAAAGTGATTAAATCAAGTGAAATAGAAACTGTTTATAGTCACATGATGGATGGATCATCATATAAACCTTGCAGGCCAGGTAGGAATTTGTCTAGAATTAAGGTCTTGGGAACCTTCTACATAAAAGGTGACAACTCTGTTATATGGAGTCTAAAATTCCTCTGCGTATAAAAACCAAAGTTTGTACGGTAATATCAAAGTAATGACTTAGATTACCCACAAGAGAAGTGAACCAAGGCTACAGAACCAAGGTCAAAATTAATAAGGTGAGAACTTTTAAAAAACGTAGACTCATGGCAGCAGAAAATATGAGAAGTCTAATGCTCAGGCAGACATTACTCTTAGCTAAAATATACCTGACAAACATATTATCTTCAAATGATGCCTCTTAACTTCCTTAAACTGCTCAGCTATAGTGAGTGTTGTGATTCCAAGTATGCAAAACCATTCTGCTATCTTCTTTTTTCTAGTAACTCAAAATTTTAGTTTAAGTTCTGAGATTTATATGACTGCTTAAAAAAGAAATCAATATATTATATGTACTTTTCCATGAAGTCTTTAGTATTTTAAGATACTACAGTAGGCACAAAATGTGACCTATGTATTTCATTATTTGCAAAACTACATAAGAAAGCAAACTTCCCAAGTTATACACAAAAATTTAATGAATGTCATTGTAATGTCTTTGGACATTAACTGTGATGGGTTTTGATTTGCTAATAGTAAGAAGAGCAGTCACTTAGGGAAGTCTGACTGCTCACTTAGTCAAAAAACTGAAGGCAGATGTATTCTCATGACAAAGGTCAAAGACTTAGAGCCAGAGGAGTAAAGGAAGATATAAGAATCAGACATATTTAATGTAGAAAAAAAAATGGAGAAGTGAAAATATAGATACAAAGGTCATTCTAAAATGTAGAAGGTTCCCTTTAATTAATGCAATATTAAGGACTGAAATCTCAAACCATCAGGAATATAAAATTGCTTTGACATATTTCCTTCACACCTAAAAGTCAGAGTCATTTTCTTTCTAGTAACATACTATAGAAATGATCCCTGAAAGTATAGCCTTGACATTTTCTTTCAGTACATTTTATTTTTGAAATAATATTTCAGGAAAAGTTTGGTTCTTAAATATATGAACTATTTGCTCCTATGTCTGATCAATCTTGTTAAATAGTACTTATAAATAACTTTATTTTTTTAAATAGTTTTATATGCCCTATAAGTAAAAACATCAACTTTAAATGCTTGAAGAGTACATATAATAGTTTTTTCAGTCAAAATAAAACTGTTTTTCTTTCATAACAAATACTTTACACCATGATAGTACTTTAATATGCATACCACAGACCAGATTAATTCAACTTCAGGAATCATTTGGCTATGCAAACTACCTTTTGTTTTAAGCAATTATAGTAACCAGTGTATGTACAATTTTTCCAAGATTACAGATGTATATAAATTTTGTATTAATGTTATAATTCCTTCAGTTTGTGGATGCATGTTGAGTTCTATAACCTATGCCGGTAAAGCAATGTTTTATTTTTTTAAATTTTGTTATAAAATTCTTGATATATTAATTTTTAAATGGAATAATGGTTACTGTTTAAATCTTCACAAAAATGATAAACAATGAATCTTATTTATCTGTTATTTTCCTAATGGCAACAAGTCTCCACAGAAAATACAAAACAATGAAATCATATTAGCTTAACTGATCTCCCATACTAAAAATTTTAGTGGCTCCTAATCCCTTAAGGTAATACAAAGTCATGAACTAAGTTAAAAATTTTAAAGTTAAATATACTATTTACCTATGTAAAGATATTCCCCTCTCTCCATTACACAAATGCTTATAGATGACTGGTTTATATTTTTTATCATTCCAACACCACAGTTCAGAATTCCATGTTCTGAAGGTTAGAAGAGGAAAAGGGTAAATATTTCCAAGTAAGAGACACTAGAATACATGAATTCATTTTATCAAGCCCCCTTATGCCTGTATTAACAATGACCAACTTACAAATTCTAAGTGTATACAAAACCTACAAAGAAATTTTAAAAGACAGTAATCAAACTAGTCAGGTGATAAGCTCTTTGTGCCTTTAAATAATCAGAAATATTTTTGAGTAAAAATGAATCTGAATGATTACTTTCATGCTCTAACTTGTTACACAACATGAAATAGTGGTTTAAAGATGAGTAAGGTCATTATGAAATTTTTTCTTTATTTTCTTCCCTCTCATTCTTCTGCTTGCCCCCTTTCACCAGTTACAAATCTAGCCCCTCTATATTTCCTTAAACTCTCCTGAAAGAATGTCCTTCATTTTCCAAAATAATATGAATTTCAGTGAAAGTGAAGGTAACAGGAATTAGTAGCTGTCATCTTATAAAAAGATATGTTACTCAGTTACCTCTATTAGTCTGGGAGCTGTAATACAGACAGGACAAAGAGAAATAACCACAGAAAAATATTACTGACAACTAAAATGGTGTCAAAAAATTGCCAACTACAATGTGCATCTCTTTGTAAAATCTTTCATGTCCATTAAATTAAAAATTGACTTTACAGTCTATCATAAACTAAAATGTCACAACATTTTGTACTATAGAAATGTCTTTTATAGTTTTGTTATGAATATAGATGGTAAATGAATAAAGCAAATCACTTCCTAAGCAACGATGCATAAAACTCCTGCTATATATTATTTTCAAAAGTCAGATCTATATATGGAACACAAGATATTTCAAAATGAATGCCATTTTTGTCATAATTTTATAGAATTAATGTTCCAACATTTAAAAAAATTCTAGTAAAAGTGCATGTTCATTCCAAGATATTATATATGCAGATGCATGTAGATGTGCATATGATAATTTTAAATAACACTAAATTATTTTAAAACATTATAGACTATACCCCCAAAGCCCATTTCTAACGGTAAGAAAATAATCAACCTGCATGAACTGGAATCAGATTCATTTTCTTCTTCACTAGTGCCATCATCCACTTCTGGTCTATCCAGCCAGTGTGCACCGCCACAATCTTCTGCTGTAAACTCAAATGCAGGGACTTCAGAGGTGGATGCCATTGGCCAAGAAGGTGAATTCTGAAAATCCAGTTGGCTGGACCTTCGGTAACCAATTGAAGCCAAAGGCAATTGCAGGCTACATGGATCTAAAAACTTTCTCCCACCGTTTGCACCAGTCTGTCCTCGATTCCAAAATTCTCCCTGCTGGCTGTCAACTGTAGAATTAGGAGATGATGCTTGATGGCCAAACCACCTCCATCTGATTTTCAAAATCTGTTTCACATCAAACTCTTTACGAGAACCAGACATCCTCAGAGAAACCAAGTGATCGTCTAGGCAACGGGAAAAAAGCACTGCACACAGATTTGTGCATCCAACCAAGACAAGTAATATGCCCTGCTGTACACAACAAACAGATTTAAAGGAAAATAAACCACATTCATATATATATCTACATTTACTTTTATGCCAATATATCAGATTTAAAAGAACAAAAGATAATGAATAAAGATGAAACACGGTGGAACATTCCGTTCAATCAGAGCAAACTCTCATCCACCTATCCTGAGGCAGCTAGACCACTTTCCTCGCTCTCCTTTCCCATACTGACCATTAGCTCTCACAAACACTGACAGCATTCATTAAAGTCCTTTCAAATGCAGAACACCACCCCCTTTTCTTAAACCACAAATGACGGAGACAGAAAGCACTATCCCAGTCAGTATTTCAGTCTCTACTGTTTAGCGTATTAACTGTTTTATTGCCGAAACAAGAAACATTTCAGAGCATTTTTCTTTGTACTTAAAAATCATTTTACAACCAAAACATTTCTATTCTTAAACCAAATTCTGTGGCGAGATATCACAAAACAAATTTTAAAAAGCATTTTTAGTAAGATGAATTATGACGACTTCCAAGTGGTGCTCTTTGATTGGGAGCGAGGACGAAGGAGTGCAAACGTGAGTCCAGACTGCTACCTGCTGCCTCTATCTTCTCCTTTTAAAAAGGACTGCATTTAATTAACACAGGAAGAGCCTGGTAAAATTTCATTTGGAACAAGACAAGAGAAAGGTAAATTAGGATATAAAGTTTGAAAACTACCAAAGATCAAAATACAGTACCCTTTTTTGAATATACAATCTGAAGGTAATTTTGCTCTATAACTAATAAGCCCACTTCCACTTAGATAATACTCAAATTTCTATGACACGACTCAGGAAAAGGAAAGTATGGCTCAAGGAAACTGAAGAACTGGGATAGGACTACTTCCCGGCTGTTCAGGTACCATAATGGTGCCCTCTATTGTTAGCAAAATAAAATAATAGTGTGAACATGGATACAGTCATAGCAAATTAATAAAACAGTTAAGACATACACCTTGTTTGCCATCCATAATTAAACCTAATTACTGAAATAAGAAATATTTAACAAGTTAAAATAGGAAACATTATAATACCATGATATTAGCATTTCATGACTTAACAATGCAGAATTTTCTTACAGTATTCAGTATCGACACCTATATCAAATAATTTCACACAATACCTATATCATCTGACTGAAAAAACAAACAAAAAGTTGCTTTGGGGGCTTAAAAAATAGCCATGTTGCTTAACAATACAGCTGTTTAGGAGAATAAAAATGATTCAGAAAAAACAAGAATGAAAAGTATGAAAGGCCATGTACCTTAGTATTTAGCATTTTGTGCTAAATACTATGAGAAAAACCACAAAAACTAAAGAGAAAGGGGGTATCAGGATGGTGTAGGGTTACAGCCTCTTTGTTTGGAATAGTAAAAAGTTGCTTAGGTGAATGATGCTGTTTATATAAAGAGAGAGATAAATAAACACAACAAGTGAATATATTGACAAAGAGGAGAAAAAATCTGATCAGTCAATCAGCCATATGTAATAATTTTAAGGAGCAAGAGGTAAAAGTTAGATGAATCTGATGAGGTAAAATACCTTGAGTATAAAGTAAAAGTATTATTAAGTGGATTGTTGAACAGGGCAATGCTTTTGAAAATTACTTTGGTGTTAGTATGCAGGATGTATTAGTGAAACTTCAGACAGTCTTTCCTCTCTTCATCTTGGCATATACCTTCTCTCAATAAATACCCTCTAACTCCACTCTACCTAACTTTATTTCTATTTCCCAAAACAAACATGCTGTTTTCATCTGTGAAGATAGTCTACATTATGTTGTTTCTTCTTTTACAATGCTGTACCAATTTCTCTGGTTTTAAAATCTTACTCATAGCTTAGCCAGTGGCATATGTCTGGGAAGCTTGAGGCCTGTCTGAGCAACTCAGTAAGTGTGAGCAACTCAGTCTGAGCAACCAGTCTAAACAACTCCATAAGACTCTCAAAATAAAAATAAAAATTAAAAAATGGCTGGGATGTAGATCAGTGCTCCCCAGTTCAAACCCAATACCACAAAAGAAAATTAATAAATAAATAAAAATTTAGCCTTTATGGTATAGCTCAGGTACTGCGTCAGCCTTATAAACACTTCTCTATTTTAGCCTTGCTGTTCTTTATAACACCAATCTCCCTCCCTAACAAAGGCTTTTGCAAACTGAGTCAGGAATAGATTTTTTTTAGTTAAAATGACTGGAGTGCTCTAGGTACTGTGTAAGGCAGAGTGCCAGGGAAACCTCTTGGGATTCATCATACAGACTGACAAACTGGAACAGCTCATAATGATCTGACCATTACTCTTTTCATTTCAGCAAAATATCAAGTATTTGTAAGTACAACATACAGAAGAGATAGATGAATCGCGAACATATCTTGCTTTAAGAAGTTTTGGTCAGGTGGGATGGTCTATACCTGTTGCCAGGGCAACATAGTGAGATGCTTTCAAAATAAAAAGGGCTGGGAATGTGGCTCTTTAATCTCTGAGTTCAATCTCCAATATAGGCAAGAAAAAAAAAACTTTAAAACTTACATCTGACAAAGGAAAGTTATTAATGATTATAAAAGAATGTATTTTAATAAATATAATTTCATATAAATTTTAAATTAGAATCCATCAATTAATATATGAGCACTTACCAGATTTCAATGACAGTAAGTGCCAGTTCTAATGTCTAGAAGTGACTTTAGTTCTTTTGTTGTTTGGTTGCCTGATTGAAGCCTAACTCGACAGTGGCCTTCACTAAAGGCCACTGGGATGTGAGATATTTCTCAATAGAATTCTCTATAAGAAGAAATTCAAAGACTTATGAAGCAATAAAAAAATGTTGAACTCTGCTCCCATTCTCAAAGGGTCCAAGTATCTTTTCCACTGGGATTTTAAGACACATCCTGGACACACGTATGTATCTTTTTAATGAAATAGCTGTTCTGAGTATCTGAGAGCATTGAAATAAGCTGCTTAATTTTAAAGGGATTGTGGGTTGGAAAAGGCCAAGTGAAGCATTTAAACACTACTATGATGATCATAGCACACACACATCCCCAAAGATTCTTTTATGTGAGCAGACTCATCAGATGCTTTATCACTGATATCTTTGTCAGCGCCACTCCGCTCATTCTCCCCAGCAATAGGGTAGTATACAGCTCTTCACACCACTCTCCATGTTCATAAAATCATACACACTTACAGACTCATTTACCAGAGCCTCAGTCACTGCTGTAAGAAATCACATAATATATATAATTTTGGCATTTTGCTTTCCTCACCTAATTTTATACACAGATGGAAATATAAATAATTTAATCCTTGGATGATATTTCACAGTTGTAAAACAATTGATTATCTCCTTGCTAGTAGGCATCTGGGTTGCTTTAAGTTTCTGTCTACAACTAAATGTTGAAACAAATATCCTTGCAAAGTTTTTATGTATGCAGAATTTATTCACAGTAGAATAGCTGCTTGAAGGTAAATGTCTTTTAAATTTGAACAGTTTAACTTTCCTACAATTTACATTGCAAACATAAAGTCAATGTGTCCTTCTCATCTATTTTCATAAGCCACCAGTTAATAAGTATTATAATTCTCTTATTCCAGATGGCCTTGAGCTTTTGAATATTATAAACATTCAATCTACAATTTTTCTTGTTTCAAAAATATTTTTATAACCTATTTTCCAGATGGGAGAAACTGATGCCTGTACTTTTAAATCATTTTAAAACTGAAGTCTGACACATATTAGAAAAGTGTACAAACCATATCTGGAGAGATCAATGAATTATGAGTCAATCAATGGGTTCACCTGGGTTAAAAACAATGATTAGAATAACTAGCACTTAGGAATCATGCCCCACCAAAAGGAATCATCATTGTTAGTATAAGTTTTATCTGCTTTTCAATTTCATTCTCATGCATTCTTTTATTCACCAATGTTCTGAAATCAGTTTGTCCTCTGGGGCTAGGAGTATAGCTGAGTAGTATAGTGCTTGTTATCATGCAAGAGATCCAGGGTTCAATTACCAGCAAGAAAAAGATCATCTCCCAAGAAAAAGATCTGTTGTCGGTAGTAGCTGGTAGACTAGATTTTATGGCTATCTAGTATTCCACTTTATATACTACCATCAAAAGCCATCCTACTGCTGACACATCTGAATTGTCTCACTTTAAACTTTTGCAATAATATAAACAATGTTGCACATGTTGTCTGGTACAAATATCTGTCTTTATATCTCTATCCAGAAGTGAACTGCTATATCATAAAGTATACATGAATACTGCTACCAGCAGCACTTGAGAATTCTAGTCACTCCACATCTGGCCAGCACTGTGCTGTCAGCCTTTCCAATCCTAAGTCATTCTGTTGGGTGTGTAGTGGTATTTCACTTGATTTTCTCTTTGAACGCATTCATTATTGACATTACTCATACTTTTTCATGTTTGAAGGTCCATTATAAAATAGATGTTTAGGTCTCTTGCTTTTGTTTCCTACAGCCTATCTTTATCTTCTTGATTTGTAGGAGTTCTTATACTTTTGATATTTTTATGAAAAATATGTAGTTGTTTTAAGTATTAATGTTTTTATGTTATGTATGTTTATATTAAGTAAAATAATACTATTTTACTTCTGTCCCATCAACATTTGTGAAACTACGTAAAACTGTTTCAGGCAAATATTTACCCAGCTCTGATTAAAGTACTTTTTGGACAATTATCCATAAAAGATCACTACATATTAAAAATTATTATATTGTTAAGTTATCAGAATTGTCATGGTTTATGTCTGTGTCCCCCAGGCCTCACAAGTTTGAATTGTGCCTTTGTTATTCATTCATTGTCTAGTGCTTGGATTGATGGTGTCAGTGCTCCACCCACATAGGGGTGGAGCCAAGTTGTGATGTAATGGCAGGAAGAAGGTGTGTCTTGTTCTTTGCTGGTTCCTGTTTGCTGTTTGTAGCCGCCATGAACTGCGGCCCAGCCATGCCTGTCTGCCTTGGAGCCAACTGAGTGTGGACTGAAACCTCCAAAAACTGTAAGAAATAAACCTTCCCTTGCCCAACTTGGGCTTCAGGTATTTCGTCTCAGCAACGAGTAAAAAGTAACTAAGACAAGAATGGTCTATAAAAATTAGATCTCTTATCATTCTCCATCTGTAACAATAGATCCACTCTCATTCTCTATTTTCTAACCTTAACTGTTTTCATGGGCATATTAGATATTTATTTGCTTTTGGTCTTTAACCTTACTACAAATTCAATTCCAGTAAAGCTTACTTTTGGTGCAGCACTGTAATCCCACTACTTAGAATAATACCTAGCAAACAGCAACACACAATAAACATTTTTCTAATAATGAATAAATCCAATAAGCATATGAGCAATAACAAAATGCATTTATATTTTTATCTTATAAAATAAATCAAAAGCCTAGTATTTAAAACACATTAGAAAGCCAGAGATGGTGGTGCACATTTGTATTTCCACCTCTTGGAAGGCTCAAGCAGGAGGTCTGCCACAAGTTTGAGGCCAGCCTGGGATACACAGTAAGGTTCAAGACTAGCATCAACTACATAGTGAAAGCCTGTCTCAAACAAAAACATATTAAAGAAACATTTACCTCTG